GCAATCCAGGCACCTACCAGCCTCCGTGTTAAAAAATAAACTTGTGTTGCACATCTCCTTTGAACTTTTCCCTTCTCATCTTAAACATATGCCTCCTCATATATGATATTTCCACCCTGGGAAATAGATTCTAACTGTCCACCATATCCATGCTTCTCATAATTTTATATACTTCAATCAGGTCACCGCTCAGCCGCTGACGCTCTGGTGAAAACAATCCAAGTGTGTCCAACCTCTCCGTATAGCTAACAAATTCCAATCCATGCAACATCCCGGCAAACTTCTTTTGTGCCCTTTTGAAAGCATCTACATCATGCAACACTAACTCTGTTTTCTTTCCATGAATGCTGCCTAGACCTGCTGAGTTCCTGCAACAACTTCTGTTTTTGTTAAATAATTTCTTCCCAGCTCTCCAGACCTTGTTTATTATTAATTCCCACAGCCAACACTTCTTCACATCCAATTGTTCAGCACTTGAGATTATCAGGGTGAGCCTGACTGAATTATTCTCCCCTCTGACACAGCCAAACCCATCCAGTAACGCTTTACAAAAATCCATAGTAATTTTAAGGGTTTTAACAAAAAATTTCTGTTCATGGAATGTGGATGTCACTGGCTAGACCAGCATTTATTGCCCATCCCTAGTTGCTCCAGAGAAAATGGTGGTGAGACACCTTCCTGAAGCCCTATTATCCTGAACGGTAGTGATATCCACAGGGAAAGGGTTTTGACCCAATGACAATGAAGGAACAGCAATATATTTTCACATCAGGATGGTGTGCGGCATTGAGGGAAATTTGCAGAGGGTAGTGATTCCTTGTACCTGCTGCCCTTGTCCTCTAGATCTTGTGGGTTTGGAAGATCTGACTCAGAAGCTTTAATGAATTTCTGCAGTGCATCTTGTAGAAGGAGCACGCTGCTGCTGAACATTGTTAGGGACAGGAGTGAATGTTGAAAGTGGTGGATGGGTGCCAAGAAACTCGGCTGCTTTGTTCTGGATGGTGTGGAGCTTCTTGAGTGTGTTGGAGCTTCACTCATCCAGGCAAGTGGAGATTACTCTATCACCCTGATGACTTGCGGATGGTGGATAGTCATTGGGGAGACTGTCACCACATACTTCCAGCCTCTAATCTGGTCTTGTCATCACATTCACTATACAGCTAGTCCAGTTTCGTTTCTGTTCAACTATAAACCTCAGAATATTGATTGTGCAGGATTCAATACAGTGATGCCAATAAATATCAAGGAACAATGTTTTTTTTTATTCATTGATTGTAGGTGTTGCTGGCTAGGCAAGCATTTATTGCCCATCCCCAGTTATCCAGAGGGAGCTTAAAAGTCAACCATATGACTGTGGGTCTGCCGTCACATGTAGGCCAATAGATTCCATTGCCTAAAGGGGATTAGTGAACCAGATGGGTTTTTCCAACAATCGGCAGTAGTTTCATGATTAAACTCTCAATTCCAGATTTTTATTCAATTTAATTTCTACCAGGGTTTGAACATGGTTTCTGGAAAATTACCTGGGTCTCTGGCTTAATCATTTAGTGATAATACCACTAGGTCATCGCCACTCTGAGATAATTTCATCTTTAAGGTGGTCATTACCTGGCAGGGTGCAGCGTGAATATTCCTTGTCACTTATCAGCTCAAGCTTTCCTATAATCCAGGTCTTGCTGCATATGGACATGGGCTACTTCAGCAGCTGAGCTGTCATGACTGGTGCTGACACACAGAAACCAGAAGCAGGAGTTGGCCATTAAATTCTTTCAGCCTTCTCCACCATTCAATATGATCATGGCTGATCTTCTATCAAATGCCATTTTCCCACTTTCTCCCCTCTTGATGTCTTTAAGATCTAAAACAAAACTATTACATTCTTGAATATATATTCAGGTGGACTATCTTTGAGTGAAGAAATTTTTATTCATCTTGATCCTAAATGGTCTACCCCGTATCCTGGATTGTACCCTTTGGTTCTAGATTGCACACCCAGAGGAAACAGTCTGTCCAGCAGAATTTTATACAGTTCAGCCAGGTCCTCTCTCATCCTTTCAAACTCTAGTAAATACAGGCTCAATCAAACCAATCTCTCCTAATAAGATAGTCCTGCTAACTCTGGCATCAGCCTATTGATCCTCTGCTGCACTCCCTCTACAGAGAGCTTATTCTTTCTTCGGCAGGGAGACTGAAACTGCATGCAATAGCATGGGTGTGATCTCACCAATTCCTCTAAGACATCCCTACTTCTGAATTCAAAACCTCTGGCAATGAAGGCCAACATATCATTTGCCTTTCTAATTGGTTGCTGCATCTGCCTGTCTACTTTCCTTGATTGGTGTACACGTATACCCAGATCCTTTTTGGACATCCACATTTCCCAATATATCACCATTTAAAAAGTACTGTCTCACTGTTTTTTACATCAAAGTGTATTTCCTATCTCTAAGCCAGGAGGCCTGGGTTCAAGACCCACCTGCTCCAGAGCTGTGGACTAACAACTCTGAACAGGTTGTTTCAAAAATGTATAACTTCACATTTAGACCTGTTGTATTCCATCTGATATGCATTTTCCCTCTCACTTAACTTGTCTAAATCACCTTGAAGACATCTTGCATGCTCCTAACACCTCACAACCCCACAAGATAACACAGTGTGGAGTTGGAGGAACACAGCAGGCAAATGAGGCATCAGAGCAGCAGGAAAGTTGACGTTTTGGGTCGGGACCCAAAATGTCAACTTTCCTGCTCCTCTGATGGTGCCTGGTCTGCTGCGTTCTTCCAGCTCCACACTGTGTTATCTCTGACCCCAACATCTGCAGTTCTTACTATCTCACAACCCCACGAGTTTTGTGCCATCAGCAAACTTGGAAATGTTGCATTTGGTTCCCTCATCCAGGTTATTGTAGGTTAGATATTGTAAAGAGCTAGGACAAAAGCACTGATCTTTGTGATGCTCCACTAGTAACTGCTACTCAGAAAAAGATCATGTCTTTGCACTCTCTGTTTTCATTCTGTCAACTACTTCTCAATATATACCAATATATCAACCCCTATCCGTGTGCCTTGACATTGACCACTAACCACTTATGAGGAAATTTGGCGGGTCTTTCTGAAAATCCAAATGCACGCCATCTTCTGGTTCTCTCTTATCTACTCTACTGTTCTAGTTACATCCTCAAAAAACTCCAGTTAAACATGATTTGCCATTCATAATCCCATTCTGGTTTTGTCCAATCCCATTAATGCTTTCCAAGTGTTATGTTATCTCATCTTTTATAATAGACACTAGCATTTTCCCTAGTACTGATATTAAGCTAACTGGTCAGTAGGTCACTAGATTTTCTCTCCCACCCTTTTTAAAGAGTGTGGTCACATTTGCCTCCAAACTGTAGGAATGTCTCTGGAGTCCATACAATTCTGGAAGGTAACCAAAAATGCATCCCATATTTCCATAGCCACTTTCTTTATTTTCCTGGGATGTAGATTACCAGGCCCTGGTGGTTTGTCAATCTTTTTAACCTCATTAATTTCCCCAGCACTATCTTCTGACTATTACTGATTTCCTTCAATTCTGCCCGCTCACAAGATCCTTGGTTCCCTTATATTTCTGGGAGGTTATTTTCATCCACTTTGGTGAAGTCAGAATCAACATATATGTTCAATTCTTCAGCCATTTCTTTGTTCACCATTATAATTTCCCAGGCTTCTGACTGTAAGGGATCTACATTTATCTTTAATAGTCTTTTTCTCTTCTCATATTTATACAAGCTTTTACTGTCTGTTTCCATGTTCTCTGCAGTTTTATTCTATTTCCCCCCTCCCACCCTATCATCAAACTTATTGCTATTGCAAAGGATGTTGATTGAGTGACATAGAAAGATCAGTGATATAGTTCCACATCAAAGTGAAGGTACTTTTTGAGGACATAGTGAAAAATGTAAGTTAGGGTAATGTTGTCAATGTCATATACCTGAGGTATTTCAAAGGCTTTTGATAACATAGCCTCATAACCAAGATGAGGACATGTGAAGTCAAGGGACAAGAGGACTTAAAATGGATCTAACGGAAAGTCTGAAGTGTAGGTTTACAAAATCTGCGGTTCTTTTGGTTTTTTTTTCAGGAAGTGTAGGTTATCAGGTTGAAGGAAGGGAGGAAGTGATGTGACAGAATGCTCTGTACAGTGAGCACAGTTGTTCTTAGCTTACATCAGTAAGTTAATTTTAGGAATTGGTAATGTCATTTCAAAAGTTGCAGAGGATGCCAAATCATGGATTTTGGTTTACGGTGAGAAACAGTACAACATTAGCAGAGCAGTTATTAGAAAACCTGAGACTGGACAATTAAACAACACATGAACTTTTTTTAAACAACAATAAATGAGGTTTGGAAAGAAAAATACTCTCATTGTCTACACCTTTATTATTCATTCACAGGATATGGTCATCACTAGCAAGCCCATCATATATTGCCCATTCGTAGTTGTCCTGGAGAAGGTGGTGGTGAGTTGCCTTCCTGAATTGTTGCTGTGCTTAGGATACAGGGGTGCCCACTGTGCTGTTATGTCAGGGGTTCCAGGATTTTACATGAGCATATGACCTCAGAGCAGGAAAGAGGTCACTCAACCCTTACAGCCTGCTTCACCATTTGATAAGGTCACGGCTGAACTGCTTGTAACCTCAAATCCACATTCCCACCTATACCGAACAATATTTCACTACCTTGCTTACCAAGAATCTCACAACTACCATCTTCAAAATCTATGGACACTGCCACTACCTTATCAGAAAGAATTTCAAGGAGCCTTAATCCTCTGAAAGAAAACCTCTATTTTAAATGAGCAACCTCTGATTTTTAAACAGTGATACCTAATTCCAGAAGATTTAGAGATAACTTCATAGAGGCCATTAGAATTCTGAAAGTATTGACAGGATAAACATGCAAGGAACATTTCCATTTGAGAGAGAATACATAAATATGAGATGGAAACAGAAATATATCTCATGGAGAAATGAGGAAAAGTTTATTTAATGAGCACGGTTAAAATGCAGAACTCACAACTGTATAAGATTGAGGCAAACTTTTTAAAAGTTAATAAAAGAAGAAAAAGTGAGCTGATGAAAACTTTTTTTGCACTTTGAGTGGTCCAGATCTGAAATGCACTGCCTGACAATGTGATGGAGGTAGGTTCCATCAAGGTATTCAAAGGAATTGGACAACATACAGAGCTACAGGGAGAAGGCAGGAGAATAGCCCTAAGTGGGGTACTTATTTTGAGAGCTGGCACAAATGCAATGGGCCAAATGGCCTGTTTCCATATTGTAACAATTCTGTGACTTTGCGAAACAGCTTGGATATTTCCAAAAGGTTATTATGTAAGTATGAGATTAGAAATGTTGAAAGACTAAGATGACATAAGCAAAAAAAACTCATATGTAATACTCACTGCCTCTTCATGTGTGAAGGGGCCCAGGGGAAGCCTAGTAATTAAATTTAATTTATGATCTGACAATGCACTTTTCACATTTACACTGTGTTGGAGACGGTCAGCGCTGCCTCCTTGATTTTCACCTTGAACCCCACTGAACTCAAGTAGTGTAATGGTGACTCTTTCTAGTTTGTATGTTCACATCTGAGCTGTGAACAGCAATGTGTAAACACTATATCATTTTCATTTTTACTAATTGGAAAGGAATGGGCTTATTAGTTATATTCAGTGTGGCTTTGTGCAGGGGAGGTCTTGTCTCACAAATTTGATTGAGTTTTTTGAGGAAATGACGAAGATGATTGATGAGGGTGGGGCAGTGGGTGTTGTCTAAGTCGACTTTACTAAAACACTTAACAAGGTTCTTCATGGTAAGCTGATCCAGGAGATTAAGTCACATGGGATCGATGGTAAGCTAGATCCAAAATTGGTGTGGTCATAGAGACAGAGGGTAGTTGTAGAGGGGTGTTTTACTGACTGAGGTCTGAGACCAGTGGTTTTCCACAAGGATCAGTGCTGGGACCTCTGTTGTTTGTAATTCATATAAATGATATGAGTGAAAATGTAGATGGTCTGCTTAGCAAGTTTGCAGATGACATGAAAATTAGTGGATTTGTGAATCGTGAGGAAGATTATCAAAGGATGGAGCAGGATATAGATCATTTTGAAAGTGGGCAGAGAAATGACAGATGGAATTTAATCGGGACAAGGGTGAGGTGATGAATTTTGAGAGGTCAAATGCAAGAAGAAATTGTACAGTAAATGGCAGGACCGTTTGGAGAATTGATATTTAGAGGGATCTTGGGGCACAAGTTCCTAGCTCCCTGAAAGTAGCAACCCAAGTGGATGAGGTGGTAAAGAAGATGTACAGCATGCTTGCCTTTCTCAGTCGGAGCACTGAGTACAACAATTGGCAAGTCATGTTGCAGCTGTATGAAACTTTAGTTCAACCACATTTGAAGTATTGTGTACAGTTCTGGTCACCACACAGTAGAAAATATGTGGAGGCTTTGGAGTAGAATGCAAAAGAATTTGACCGGGATATTGCCTGGATTGGAGTGTATTCACCCAAAGGAGCGGTTGGACAATTTTGGATTATTTTTGCTAATGTGTCAGATGTTGAGGGGTGGCATATGTAAAATGATGAGGTGCATGGCTAAGGTGAATAGTTGGAGTCTCTTTCCCAGGATGGAAATGTCAAATACTATTGGGGCATTGGTTTAAGGTGAGAGGGGGAAATTTTGAAAGGAGGTGTGCGAGGCAAATTTTTCACGCAGAAGATGGTCAATGCCTGGAATGTGCTGCCCGGGGGAGATGGTAGAAGCATTTACAGAAACAACATTTAAAGAAGCATTTAGGCAGACACATCAACGGGCAGGTAATAGAGAGATATGAACCCATATATAAGCAAATGGGTCAATTTGGAATGGCAACATGATCAACACAGATATGGTTGGCCAAAGCGTCTGCTCCAATGCTGTACTGTTCGATGTACTTTTGATTGTCGACTGAAACGTGAGAAAGAACTGTTTTAAAACCAAACATTGCTGAAGGATTACTGCATGTAACCCCGTTCTCATTGTTAGTTCTCTTTGCACATTTGCTGGTTCAAGCAATAGTTGAAGTGTAGTTTACAGAAGAGCTGGAACGGTGTGGATTTAAATGGAGATTCAGACTCTGTGACAATTCTATGGCTTGAAGAGAGGTATTTTGTCCCTTATTTTATGAACAGAGGTTGAAACAGTGGTGCTAAGCGGTCTGCTCCAAGCCAATAAAGTAAACAGCTAATGAGGCCTTGGAATTTTTAAAAGTCGGAACATTAGAAGTGACATGAATGCGTAGGTTCAAGCTCCCACTGAACCAGGGTTTTGGTTTTGCTTTCAGTAGTTGCTAGGGTCTTGAAACTGCATGTTGAAGCTGTTATTCCTCTCAGCTAAAAGCTGGAGTTCGCTCTGCTGTCGGAATTGCATGTGAGACAATCTATTGTACTGAATTTGTGTTTGCCAAGGGAGTGTTTTTATGGGATTTTACTATATTTAGAACAGTTGCTGCTTTGTATATAAATAATCTGTTATTCTATTAAGTTTTCCAACAGGGACAATTTGTTCTAATTCATTTTTCTCTTGTTTATATTTTAACTACAGGGTAAGAATAAAGTGTGTTTTGCTAAAAGTTGCGTTGTATAACCAATTGAATTTCATCTGGAACACAGCACCTTACACTTGTCTTTAAAATAAGATAACCTAAACCCTAACGTCTATATCCTTGTTATATTTGAAGGGTGTTTACTGTGGTCTGTAATACCTCCAACATGTAACTGAATGGTGTGTGGACTAGTAAACATTTATTGATAACAAAAGTCTTCTGCTGCCATTAATTGTGTGATTAGTTCTCAGGTATGGGAACAGCTTGTGGCTGTGAACATCAGAGGGAGAAGACATCAGACATCCACCAGATCAGGAGGTCTCTCTGTTTTCTGCCATAAAAGCCACTCTACACATAAATAAAACTGGTTTATCTTTCCTTCAGCAGTTGAAAGTTGTAAGTATTCTTAAACCTGTATGGCTCCTGTAATATAAGAAACTGGGCATGGATGTCAGTATTGAAGAATCCAGCAGACATTAATGTAGCTAATTATCATGAACAATTGTTATTTTCTTTCAGCCATATTAGTCGCTGGGGCAGTTTTAAACCATTAGTTTACTGGAAGCATGCTCCTCTGTTGTGCAGTGATCTGAGGTAAGATGGAGTATGAGTCTTTATATCCTCAGGTCACGTGCTATGACACAGCAATAGCATCATCAGCATGCTTCTTAAATGCATACAAACCATGAGAGCATAACACAACCTTGATCAGAGTTCTGATTTATAACCAACAATTTAATATGAAAACACTAAAAGCAGCACAGAGATAGTAGGAACTGCAGATGCTGGAAAATCTGAGATAACAAGGTGTAGAGCTGGATGAACACAGCAGGCCAAGCAGCATCATAGGAGCAGGAAGGCTGACATTTCGGGCCTAGACCCAAAATGATTGTCATGTTACGTTTGATCAGGTTTAAACTTTCCATGTTCTCAGTAATCTGTTGCTTGAATTCATTCGGTCCCTAAGTAGATTTTGGATGTTCTGGAAGACAAGCTGCTGGTAGGGGTTCATACTCAAGGCGACCATTTCCAAACAACTTCAGCAATGCCCCATTCCTGGTCTGATCTGTGACGAGCTGCAAGAATCCCTCTGCAACCTGTGAAGTCCTGGACAAATCAGATGGTAATCCTGAATATTCATCTAATTAGTTTAAAATGTCCCGCTCTCAGAATGCAATTCCTTCCAGTGGGTTAAGGCAGCAGATCACTGAGCCTTCTACCCAGTCTGGGAGAATCTAACTAGCAGGGTCAATAAATGAGAAACAGCCAATGTCATTGATTTCCAAAAGGCATTCCAGGGTTGTTTGCATATCTGCTGTCACATCATTCTGCACACTCATCAAATCCAACATGCAAAGTCTCAGGTTAATGCCAAAGATTTAGAAATCAATCTGTGTCACTTCATGGATACCACACCATCATGTCAATAGCTCATCACTCTACAAGTACTCCATGTAGACATTTGAGCATGTTTTCATCCTGTCAATTCCCAACCCACTTCCTGATTGTTTTCATACTCACGTCAGCACTCCAAATCTGGCCAACAGTCTGTCAGCCTTCTCCTTCTGTTCCGGAGCCTTCAGCAATTTCAGATTTGCCAGAAGCTGAGTGTCAACGAAACCAGGACACAGCACTTGTAGTCGAACTCCATGCTTCTCAAGGCAGGTCAGCTGAAAGCAGAAACTATGTAATGTCTCATACTCTCCAAAGTTATTGAACTTTACAACTTTCTAACGGGAAGGTCTCAGGTCCCAGTTTATGTTGAATTTTGTGATTAGGGCCCATTCTCACTGCAGTGCACTGCAGTAATCAGGAATCCAGTGTTTGTGCTTTGTGTGAGGCTTACCTGAGTGGCAGCACAATTCAAACACACTTAGCATTAGGGTCATCAACACATTCAATCTGATTACACTTGTCTCTTCATCCCCATATCCTGGGCTTATCTTTCTTTGGGAGTGTTAAATGTTTGGAGCAAGCCCACACCCATATGGCTCACTTGCCCTACAGCCTTTTATCCATTCATCAGTTTGGGATGGGCCTCCTGCCACATCTATGAGGATCGAACTACCAGTGTTGATAAAGGAGAAGCAGGCAATGCAGTACATTTGGATTTCCAAGAGGCATGTGATTAGATGCCACCAAAAAGATTAATATGCAAGATAAGAGTTCATTGGATTATGGGTAATATGTTAACAGGCATATATAAACAGGAAGCAAAAAGTTCATTTTTAAGTTGACAGGCCATGACATTTAGAGGGCCACAGCGATCAGTGCCAGCTACTTGCAATCTATGTTCATGAATTTGGCAAAAAGACGGAGTATTATTGTACATTTGCGAGCGGTTCAAAGCTAGACAAAAGTGCCAGCTGTGAGGAGGCCACAAAGCGGTTGTAAAAATGATTAAGCAGCTTAAATAATGGACTGTAACAAGGGGATGGATGAATTATAAATTTATAAGTATGCAATTGTTCACTTTCTTCATTATTGTGGACAAGCAGAATATTTTAAAAGGCATGAAATTTGCAAAGGTTGATGTTCAGAGGGATTGGTGTATACTGATAAAAGGAAAACAAAGTTAACACGTACATTCAGCAAGCAATTAAGAAGGCAAAAAGCAAGGATTGCAAGGAGATTGGAATACAGGAATGAGAAAGTCTTGCTACAATTGAAGAGAGAATTGGTGTAACCACTGGAAATACCAAGCAGAAATAAAATGATCACTCCATTCCCCACAACCGAAGAAAGTTCAAACATGAGGAAGCCATTTGATTAGGTGGGAGGTTTGTGGGATAGGGGCCTGCTACCATCAATCGAACTAACGGTGAGAATGGTGATCTATAGCTTTTCCTCTCGGAGGCCAATTGAGGCTCTTAAGTAGTCATTTAACAACGTCTTCCACCGTCACTGATAAACGGAAGCTTGACGAGTCTGCTCAGCAAACCCTGTTGGGATTTTCAGCAACTGATTGGGGGGCCAGGAAGCAGGGGGCATGGGGCAGGGAGGGATGCGGGCATTATTCACATGAATACTGTGACTGCAATCAAGAAACAGGTGGTGTGCTGAAAGCCACTGCATGCACTCTTTCTTCTAACCTCCTGCCAACCGCCATCCCACAAGCTGGGATCTCATCTACACTCACCTCTATCTTGGGACCCATCCTCCTGTACACTCAAATGTCATATTGACAATGGCCATCATTCCCTTAATTGAGTGGAAAACCTGTAGCTGTTCAGAGTAGCATTTAATTGCTAGAAATTTATATTGGACCTCCAGCAGAGAAGAAATGCCAGGCTCCCAACAGTTCTCCTAGTGATGAGTGAGGCCCCTGGGTGAAGTTCTCCTATCTGTAGAAGAACAAGAGGTGATCCAATTGAACTTTGCAAAACTCTGACGGGGCTTGTCAGAATAGATATAGAGATTGTTTCCCCTGCCTCAGGAATCGGGAGCACAGGGGTCAATCATTTTGGACCGTAATGAGGAGAAGTTAGGAAGGTCACTTAAAGGGGAGTGAATCTTTCAAGTTGTCCATTCCAGAAGATTACAATTCTAACATTGAATATATTTTAGGCTGAGATAGACCTTTGGTTCCTCAGAATCACCAGATATAAGGATAAGGCAGGAAAGTGGTATTGAAGCCCAAAGCTAGTCATGATTGTACTGGTTCAGGCACATATATGGTTGACTGAAGCTTCGATTGTATAAGTAAGAGCCGCCTACCAATGAAACAATTTGCATCTTTCCTGTGCCACCTATCGCCAGCCAGGAGCAGCTGCTGTTATTGCATGGAAGAAATGGAGCCATGGAGTCTGAAACAACCTCAGTCCATGGACAAGCAGGGGCCAATCTTGCAGAACCCATTATTGTGCAGTAGCGTCTCAGTGAACACAGGTTTGCACAAGCAGCCCAATGGATTTTGTACCCTCTTTGTCAACATATGGTATTTACCCACCGTGGAGAGCCATCCCACTATCAGAGACTGTGGATGCTCAGTTAATGGCTCCATTCAAGGTCAATATTGACAGACATTTGGGCACTAAGGGAATCTGGAGTTATGGAGTTAAGGTGAGAAAATTAAGTCAAGGTACTAATTGAGCTCTTATCTTACTGAGTAGTGGGGCAAGCTTGAGGGACACGTGGCCTTCTCCAAGCTCTATACCTGCTACTTGTTCTTAGATTCTTGTACAGGATTAGTGCATTATTTACACAGAAAACATTTACTCTTTGCAATATAACGCTTACAGACAGTGATGTAGTGAATCCTACTACTCCATACTTTGAGGCTGCATAAACTGGTCCAAGATAATAAGGAGTCACACCTGTTCACCATAAAACAGCAGAGAGTTAGCTTCAAACACTCCACCAAACATTTGAATATATTGAAATGCATAGAGTCATACAATCATAGAGTCATACAGCATGGAAACAGACCCTTTAGTCTAACCAGTCTATGCCAACTATAATCCCAAACTAAACTAGTCCCACCTGCCTGCGCTTGGCCCACATCCCTCCAAACATTTCTTATTCATGTACTTATTCAAATGTCTTTTAAATGTTGTAATTGTACCCACATCCACCACTTCCTCTGGAAGTTCATTCCACATACGAACCACCCCGTGTAAAAAAAATTACCCCTCATGTCTTTTGCCAATCTTTCTCCTCTCATGTTAAAAATATGCCCTCTAGTCTTGAAATACCCTACCCCAGGGAAAAGACACGTGCCATTCACTTTATCAACCCCTCCTTATTTTATAAACCTCTGTAAGATCAGCCTTTATCCTCCTATGCTCCAGAGAAAGAAGTCCCAGCCAATCCAGCCTGTCCTCATAACTTAAACCCTCCATTCCTGGCAATATCCTGGTAAATCTCTTCTGAGCCCTCTCCAGCTTAATAACACCTTATATCAGGGTGACCAGAACCAGACACAGTACTCCAGAAGAAGCATGGAAACAGGCCATTCAGTCCATCCAGTTCATGTCAATATTTAACCTTTACATGAACAAATAGTCCTGATCACATTCACCTGCATGGTTTCCAAATTTCTTCCACCTTTTCCTCCATCTTTCTAATCTAAATTTAAGTATTGATGCTTCCTGCCTCAACAAACAAACCTGGAAAAGAATCCCACATGAACATGTCTCAATGAGAAGAAGTTGTTCCTGCTGTGCTCTGAATCTCTGGCATTTAATCTTGTACCAATGACCCTTCAATTACAATAAACCTCTTTTTCTATCTAACCTAGTCCATCATTTCATATTATTAAACAATTCGTTCATATTGCCAGAATTAAGATTCATTTGAAGAAAAAGACCGTAAATTTTCCAGTTTGTCTTTATATTTTGATAAACCAGGCAGATTCTCAGTGAAGCTGTGCAAGTTACTCTCTATTTAATGTCCTTCCCATGTATGCGCATTGTATCTAACACTGGTTTTAATGAACTCTGTAAAGGCTTACCATTAATTCTTGATTTTTACAGTATCTGCTCATACTTCCCAACAAAAAGTTTCATCTGTCACTACTAGAGCTATTGCCCAAACTTATCATTACTTCCTTCAGCCTTCTAAATAATTATCTGTACTTCCTTTTTTTAAACTATCTGGAAATTTCAACACATTTCCTCTGAACCCTGATCAGTCTTGCTCAAAATCAACAGAAGTGGGCCCTCAGGCTTTGAAATGCCCTAATTCACTTTCAAATCCTCTGAGAAATTGCTCATACCTTCTGTGTGGAAGCTAATTATATGTTCCTTTGCAGTAAATTATATGTAAATCAAGCTTCTCCTGAAAATGCTTTGTAGAGCACCTGCGCTCTGTTCGCGACAAATGACAACACCTTCCAGTCACGAACCATTTCAACTCCCCCTCCCACTCCCTGGATGACATGTCCATCCTGGCCCTCCTCCAGTGTCATAATGACGCCACCTGCAACTGGAGGAGCAGCACCTCATATTCCGCCTTGGGAGCCTACAACCCAATGGTCTCAATGTGGACTTTGCCAGTTTCAAAATCTCCCCACCCCGGCCTCATTCCATGACCAACCCTCCCTCTCATCCCTGCCTTCTTGACCTGTCTTCTCTCCCATCGATCCGCTCCTCACAGCTCACTGATCAATCCTTACCACTGCCTAACTGCACTCATCTATCACCATCCCACTTACTTTCCCCAGCCCCACCCCTCCTCTCTCTATTCATTTTGGAGCTCCCTTCCCCCTCCCCAATTTCTGAACAAGGGTCCCAATCCGAAACGTCAGCTTTCCTGCTCCTCTGATGCTGCCTGGCATGCTGTGTTCCTCCAGGTCCACACTGTGTTATCTCCTGAAAATGTAATTTGGTCACAGTGGATGTTTTCCAGTATCGTCAGGCAACACTTACAATATTCATTGATAAACTATTGTTACTTTATTGACTCACCTGACATGGAGGCAATATTAACAATCACTCCTCCTTTTCCACCAGTCTCCTTACTCATGTGCTGTATTCCCAGATAGGTTCCCTTAATTACACTGACCTGCAATACAAGTATCATAGAAATCACCGGGGAACAGGCCCGTTCAGACAATGTTGGAATACTGATATGTACAGACAGTAGCAAAGTGTAGAGAGATACATGTAGATACCAAGCTACATTCAAGTTCACCCAACAAGTGTATATTCAAGCATTAGCAGAGCACAGCAAAATTCAGGTGGTAGTACAGTCATAAACAATAAAACATTGTGGAACAATACAGAATGATTTGTAGAATGGTTAGCCTGATAAACAGGACGGACAAACTAGGAATTGGCAAACTGGTTAGTAGGATGAACCAATTGATCCATTGAATGAATAGAATGTTCAGTGGAATATGCAAACTGATGCAGTTTTTATGCTCCAGCACGCTAAGGAGATCATGATTATCAAAAGTAGATTGCCCAGGAAGGTGCCAGGAATTTCTAATGACTGAACCATAACTATCAACTAACAGATCATAGTACTCTCCCGCCTTCATGGGTACTTCCTGTTCCACTGGCACAACAGATGCCTTCACAGAACCTGAGCCTCCACTTCAATATTTGTTCATATTATGTGAGGTGTCATAGGAAAATAGAAACAACAAGCAGACGTATGCCATCGGCCCAGCAAATGTGTTCTGTGTGCAATAAGAACCCAGTTAGCATCTTCTACATCAATGGAAATACCACCACCTGCAAGTTCCACTCCAATTCACTCACCATTCTGACTTGGAAATATATCACCATTCCTTCAATGTCACTGGGTCTAAACCCTGGAATTCCCCCTCTAATTACATAGTGGGTTGACCTAAGGAACATCAACTGTGGTAGTTTAAGAAGGCAGCTCACCACCACCTTCTCAAATGCCCCTAGCCAACAACACCAACATTCCATGAGCAAGTTAAAAAATGTCATGGTGTGAAGTCAATAATATCAAGGGAAATTATTGCCGTTCACCACCTCTCATCCCTCTATCTTACATATTTCTCTCCCCTCATCCCATTCTCTCTACAATCTCAGATCAGAGCATCTCCATGATAATGATCACATGATCTGAGGAAAACAAGGCTTCAGAACATATTCTAGGTGGGGGCTTCAACATCTATGAATGGTTAGTGGTGGTTAGAAACATGGGCTTTGACAAGAGTGTCATGATCATTGGCAAGAGACTGTACAGTGCCAACTCGTTGTCTGAGCTGGCCAGATCTTAAAGGACATAGATGTCAGATGGACGTAGCTCTAGTACTGAGTGACCAAGGAAATAAACTAATTATCCTCAGCCTCAGCAACCCACCACAGGAGTACATACTATTGCAATGTAGAGAATCAGGATTTATTAGAACCATTCCTTATTCATTGATTTACAGAATGAAAGCTTAAAAACATTCATCTCCAAACTCAACCACATCCCAGTTTCAATAAGTGTTAATGTGCTCACTTAAAACCCAATTAATATAATTATTATACAATTGATATGTACCAGATTTACACTGAGGCAGTTCTCCCAGTTTTCCCGATCAGAGATCCCTGCATTGTTACATACTATGTCCAACTTCTGAAATTTTTCAAGAGTTTTGCTGAAACAATCTGGAAAAGACAATGAATGGAGTTGATTGGCAAAGTTTGCAACGTCTTTAACCAAACATACCAACACTAAAATCTTTAGTCAGAATGATTCATTTAGTTACTGAGTCATGAAGTCATACAGTGTAGAAACAGGTCCTTCAGCCCACCAGATCAATGTTGATCAACAAACACCAAACTATGCTAATCCCACTTACCTGCACATGGTCCATAACCTACTATGCCCTGGCATTTTAAGATGCTTCTTAAATGTTGCAAGACCACCTGTCTTCATCACCCTCGCAGGCAGTTCATACCATTTTTCCACCATTCCCTGAGTAGAAAATTTGTTCCTGAGGCCTTGTCTAAACCACTTACACCTCACTTTAAATTTATGCCCTCTGGTCTTAGATATATCTGACATGGGAAAGAGATTCTCACTATCTCCCCTGTCCTTGCCTCACATAGTTTTGTATACCTCAATCAGATCACCCTTCAGTCTCCTCTGCTCCAGAGAAAATAACACCATCCCATCCAGTCTTGCCTTATAACTGAGACTTTCCATCCCAGTTGTCAGACGTTTCATTGTCGGGAATAATCTATATGTGCAAACAATTGAGTGAATTTCCCTGATCGTTGTCCTGGGAAATGTGGTTGACCAAAGCCTAAACAGAACTTTTTCAGCAAATCCTCTTGATGTTGAACGAGAATGTTTGGAGATTCTCACTGGGAACCCTTCTATTGGCAGTATGCTTCCCATTTTCCACAATCAGCAGCCATCAAAATCCTAAAATAAAAGCCACCTGTAGATTTGAACAAAACACCTCCCCTCCTCCATATATACACCTAGAAAATGGTAAGGGTGTGCGACATCAAACCATTGAGGAACACCCTTGTTTCCCTGCAAGAGTCAACAGACTGAGTCTTTTGGCCAGAACTGGAGAGACACTGAGAACCATCATCAGGAGAACTGAGACCCTAAACTAGAACATATATCCTCTCCTGAGGCACTAAACCAAGACCTACACCAGGAGTATATACCACGACCCCAAGGGTCTAAATAAGGAACACTTGGACTGGGATCCTCCACCAAGATCGCGGAGACCCTGAGACGCAGGAACACAGAAAAGCTGAGCAGTATCAATTGGTGCCTGAGAACAGACAGAGAGCTGAATTCTGGAATCAGTGCCCCCAACAAAGCATCCCATTTCAGGGCAGGTATTTACCCCCTGCTCTGAGTGTCCATTTCTAAATGTAAATTCATCCTCATTCTCCTCCCTCAGCAAATGGAAGGTGATCCATTTTCTGTACTGATTATAGTTAATCATATTGCAGTGCATGAACTTACTAATGCCAACTGTGCAACTCCCATTCACACCAATACCAGTTGATTATTACACCCACTGGTTGCAGCAAAGAGCCCATTTAGAAATCAGTCAGTTAGATTGAACACGTCTGTGGCATGTTGTTAAAATTAATGTTTGAATTAGTACCTTTCAGCTGATTCTCGGATGTTACATCACATTGAAGGAACAAAATATTCTCATCTCCGTAGCTCTGTGCAAAGGCAGCTTTGGTGGCTTCCCCTGTGGTTACATTGATATCCAACAGACTCACCTAAAGGAGGTAAAAACATGGTTTAGTCCCAAAGGATCCTAAAGCAAAATCATGGGTTGATTAATGTGTCCGAGGGGAGCTTGGATCAGTCAGTGGCCCATTTCAAACCCTATTTCCAACCCTGACCAGACATATGAAAACTACACACTGAACTTTCTTCTGAGTTTTCTGAGTGGACTTCTGATGGAGGATCCTTCAGCACTGATTTGGTGCAGCATTCCTTGCACAGAAGCTGTGCCCCCATTCTAGGGTATGAGCTGCTGGATTAAAATGAGTGAAGAGTTCAGATAATCCAAAGCTTCTTTGAAAAGCATCAGTGGATGAAGAAGGTGTGTTGGTAACATCATTGTGTTCGTAACCCAGGAGCCCAGCTTGATGCTTTAGGGATACAGGTTCAAATCGCACCAATGCAGCTGGTGGTGTTTTAAGGCTGAGAAGGGACCTGATAGAGGTGTAAAAGATTATGACAGGCATGGACAGGGTGGGTGTGAAGTAGTTGTTCCCCCTTAGTTGAAGGGTCAGTAACGAGGGGGCATAATTTTAAAGTGAAAGGCTGAAGGTTTAAATGGGATTTGAAAAGGTGCTTTTCATCCAGAGGGTCTGGAATGCACAGCCTGGCAGGGTGGTTGAGGTGAGAAACCTCACAACATTTAACAAATATTTGAATGATCACTTGAAGTGATACAACATTCAAGGCTATGGGCCAAAGTGCTGGAAAGTAGGACGAGTGTAGATTTAGAGTAGTTTTTATCAGGGGAGACCCGATGGTCTGAAGGGCCTCTTTTGCACTGTGTGAATCTATCATTCTGTGGTAGGAAAGTAAATGGGTAATATGTAAATGGTCATTGGGAATGGAGGGTGAAATTTGCAGATTCAGAGGTAGGATGGCAGCAAGGTAGGGTGGGTAGATTGTTCAGGATTTGTTGGGGGTGGAGGTCAGAAGCCAAGCTAGATGATGGTGTTGAGTCAAGTTTGGGAGCCTGTGGGAAGAGTTGGGTTAGGACCAAAGTAGTTCAGTAGGTGGGAATGAGTTGGAAAGTGGGTTTGAGACAGATCATTGGAAGGGAGTCAGGTAGGGTAGAGGGTGTGTCAGGCAATTTGCCAGATGGTTAATTGACTAGTGGAGGCTATTCAGGTCATGTTGGGGGTGGGGGTGTTTGGCTAATAGTTGATTGTCGAGGGGAAGTTGTTGGGGTCGTCGATATGAATGATTGGGGTTCAGTTGTATTGTTCTCCTGGAGTTTTAAGACTTTGTTGTCTAACATTTCCTGGATAACTATCCAGATATGTAAGGTGGCACCATCCAAAGTCTCTGACTCCAGCTCAAAATTATAGCCTTTTCTTATTCATTTGTGGGATATGGGTATTGCCAGCAGCATTTATTGCCCATCCCTAGTTGCCCTTGAGAAGGTAGTGACGAACTGTTGTCTGGAGTCCAGTTCTTCAAAGAGATGGTGAGAAAGCTGAATTCCCCTATTGGATGACATATCCTGTTTTTGGCCATGTAAAAATTCCCTAATATAATCAACTTTACAATTATTATTCATATATCTCAGATAATAACTAAAGAATTCAGAAATCTTTACTGTTTTAGTTAATTTTAACTAAATCCCCTAGAACTGATTAATTGCACACTGATATAATTGTATGATAAATTCTTGAATTAGCTTCAACTTTTATACTAACAATTTTTGTTAATGGATTATGTAGGTGGTACACACTGCTACCACTGTGCATCAGTTGTGAGGAAATGAATATTTATAGTTGTGGCGGCAATCTAGGGGATGCTTTGTCCTGGATGGTGTCAGCTTCTTGCATGTTATTGGGGCTACACTCATTCAGGCAGCGGGGAAATATTTCATTGCACTCCTGACTTGGGCCCTTAAGATTGTGGACAGGCTTTGGGAAGAGGAGAGATGATTGACTTACCAAAGGTCTCCTCTAACCTGTGCTTGTAGTCACATTACTTATATGGCTAGTCCAGTTCAGTTTCTGGTTACTGATAACCTCCCCCCACCCCACCAGAGGCTGTTGACAGTAGGGGTTTCAGTAACGGTACTCCCATAGGATGTTAGGGAGTGATGTTCAAATTCTCTCTTTTTGACTATGGTCAGCGCCTGACACTTGTGTTTCACAAATGTAATTTGCCATTCATCAGTGCAAGCCAGGATGGTATTCAGGTCTTGCTGTATGTGGACACAGAATGTAATCTGGAATGGAAGCCTTCAATATCCAAACCAAGAGTGACTCAGCAGCAAAATTACTGACTGAGCTAGTTGAGTCCTAAAGTAAACAGCAGCTAGACTAGGTCTGTAGCAGTTGTAAGGGAACAAACAAGAGGGAAAGTCATACTTGACCTTAACCTCACCAATCAGACATGATCTACTGGAATGACAGACCCTGTAAGCTGAATGGCCTATTTCTGTTCCTATGTCTTTATGGTCAACCTGCAGATAACAAGGATTTGCTGCATATTCCACCTACAAGAAACACTGCAGAAATTTAGCAAAGCACCTCAGCTAGCATATTCCAAACCCACGACCACTTCCATCTCAAAGAACAAACGCAGCAGATACTTGGGAATACCACCACCTGCAAGTTCCCCTCCAAGCCACTCATCATCCTGATTTGGAAATATATGAACATTCCTTCAGTTCACTGGGTCAAAATCCTGCAACTCCCTCTGTCCCACTACAGTGGGTCTACCTACAGCACATCGCCTGCAATGGTTCAAGACGGCAGCTCACCACCACCTTCTCAAGGCCACTGGGATGAGCAATATATTCTGGTACAGCTAGCAATGTCCACATCTTATAACTGAATAAAAATAAGGTCATTGGTGAAGTAGCTGAAGACACGACCCTGAGGAACTCTTGCCATTATGATGACTGATTAATGAAAATTAATTTAAAAGTTACCAATATACTTAAACAAAAACAGAAATTGCTGGAGAAACTCAGCAGGTGATGCAACATATGTGGAGAGAAAGCAGAATTAACAATTTGAGTACAGTGACTGTTCTTCAGAACTCATGGTAGCTAACAAGAGGTAGTATATGTACTGAAGACAGGGGGTGGTGGTTGGGGAAAAGTAGTAAGCGTTAGGTGGAGATGGAGTGTAGTGGGAGAGAAAGAGAGTGAGGCAAACAGAGGGATAGATCATGGTAAGCCAGAGAGAAAAAAGAGCTGCTAAAGGGACCATAAGTAGGTGAAAATGGGTTAGCTGTGCTTTCAGTAGACCATATGATGACAGGGCCTGGGGTGGGGGAAGACATGGAAAAAGATGTTCAAGCCCTAAAGTTATTGAACTCAGTATTGAGTTCAGAAGGCTGCAGGGTCCCCAAGGGGAAAATGAGATGCTGTTCTTCCAGTTTGTGTGAGCATCGCTGGAGCACTGCAGCAAGCCTCAGACAGAGATATTGGCGAGGGAACTGGTGATGTGTTAAAATGGCAGGAGAGCAAGACTCATACAGTCAATGGTAGGGTCTTGGATGGTGTTACCAAACAAAGAGACATAAGGGTGCACGTGTATAGTCACTTGAATGGCAAGTTGCAGATAGACAGGGTGATGAAGAAGGCATTTGGCATGCTTGTCTTCATTGCTCAGAACATTGAGTAGAGGTTTGGGATTTCAGGTTGCAACTGTAAAGGACAATGATTAGGCTACTTTTGGAATACTGTGTTCAGTTCTGGCCTCCCTGCAATGGGAAAGATGTTGTTAAACTTGAAAGGGTGCAGACAAGGATGTTGACACGATTGGAAGGTTTGAGTCATAAGGAGAGGCTGAATAAACTGGGGCTTTTTTCCCTGGAGCAATGGAGGTTGAGGGGTGAGTTTATAGAGGTTTATAAAATCATGAGGGTCATGCATAGAGTGAATAGCCATGGTCGAATTGCTGCAGTGGGAGAGTCCAAAACTGGAAGGCATAGGTTTAAGGTGAGACGGAAAAGATTTAAAAGGAACCTGAGGGGTAAGCTTTTCACACAGAGGGTGGTGTGTGTGTGGAATTGGCTGCCAGAGGAAGTGGTGGAGGCAGGTACAATTACAACATTTAAATGGCATCTGGATGGGTATATGAATAGGAAGGGTTTAGAGGGATATGGGCCAAATGCTGGCAAAGGGAACTAGGTCAGATTGGGATGTCTGGTCAGCTGGACCATTGGACCAGAACGGTCAGTTTCCCTGCTGTGGCTCTCTACAACGCTCTAATAGGAAGCTCAGGGTCATTTTGCGAACACAAGGTCCGTGTTCTGCAAAGCCATCACCCAGTCTGCACTTCGTTTCCCCAGTGTGGAGGAGACCACATTGTGCGCAGCGAATATTTTAGTCTAGATTGAGTGAAGTGCAGATAAAACGCTGCTTCACCTGGAATGTGTGTCTGGAGCCTTGGATAGTGAGGAGGGAACAGGTAAATGGGCAAATGGTACACCTTCTGCCATTGCATACTTACCCCCAGGTAATTGCTGGAATATAGTTCTCGCTCCAGTTCAGTTCCGATTTAAAACTCTTAATTTCCACCCTAGCTTTTATGCACCGCTTGCTTCAGACCAATACTCAGGTTAACACAAACAGATGCATTTCTGAATACACTGTGCCGGCAATCATCGCCTGTCTTTACACGGGAATATTGGCAGAAACTGATCCCACAGAATCGTTACCTTAGCGCCGTTCTTCAATAGGATTTCAGCAATTGCTTTCCCAATGCCCTGAGCAGCACCAGTCACCAGCGCAACTTTCCCCTGGAACTCCATTGTAGCAGTGAGGGCGGACTTCAGCTCTCTGCTCTCAGAGCTTGCGATTAATATATCACGAGTAAAAATTTGAGTGAGCTGCTAATATCCATCCACAGAGAGCTGGGGAAAGAAAAAAAAAACCACCGCCCATCCTCCTGATATGATCAGTTTCCTCCCCGTTCCTTCCTGTTTTTGTACCAATATGAAATTCGGTCTCCCTCCCTCTTCGCCCCAACCCCCCACCCCCACCTCTACATTCCTAGTTCATGGCCAGCGTCCACACTATGAATGAGAACAGTTCCTCGCCGCTTAAACCAAACAGCGTTTAATGGGGGGAAAGGGCTGTAATATCTTAGTTCACTCCGCCTGCTTCATTCCCCCCGCCCCAGTATCCAGCCAGCCAGGTGTCACAACAAGATCCAATCCCCTCACTTTGAAGAACTAAGGAACGTGGATTTGGGTGAAAGATGGTGGGGGTCTGGAATGCACTTCCTGGGAGGGTGGTTGAGGCAGGAAACCTCACAACTTTTAAGAAGCACTTGGATGAGCTCTTGAAATGTTATAACATTCAAGGCTACCGGTCAAATGCTAGAAAATAGGACTGGTGTAGATTTAGAGTTGTTTTTATAGGTACAAATTTGATGGGCACTGTACAATTCTAAGTGTCAGAGTGGGGTTAAAGTTTTTCTCCTCAGGGGGTGCTGGAGGTCACTGAGGGTGAGAGAGGCAGAACACCTCTCCACTGGGATATGTACTGAATGAGAGATAACCCCAGGAGGCTGCATACCAAGAATTGAAAAGGGGGATGGATTGTATTTCTTAACTGGCAGGCAATGGGCTGAATGGCCTCCTCCTGTGCCACAGATCTTTCTACATACAATCCTGGTATCCATGCTCATTAACTGCAGTTTCTGCATTTGCTCCTCCCACCCAACAGCCTCAGGTATCATAGAGCAAGTATGCCCTGAGTGGTGATGTTGAAATTATATTCTGCCTTGTTTGGATTTGCTCATCACCTGCCTACAAGTGAGATCTGCTAAGAGAAGCTGCCAAACTGGTTGAACCAAGTGAAAGGGCATTATTAATCTCCAGCAGCCCTTCCTTATATTTTACAAGACTCACCTGAATATTTCAGCCACTGTGATAATCAGAGGTTCTGTGTTCAATTCAAAGAATTGAGCTAATAGTCCACATTGACATTCCCAGTGCAAGAGGTTCAGTGCTGAGGGAGCACGGTCAGAGGGTCAGTACTGAGGGAATGCTGCCAGAGGGTCAGTACTGAGGGAGCACTATCAAGGGGTCAGTACTGAGGGAGCACTGTCAGGGGGTCAGTACCGAGGGAGCACTGTCACAAGTTCAGTACTGAGGGAGCACTTCAGAGGGTCAGTACTGAGGGAGTGCTGCAATATCAGTGGGTTAGTAGCGAGGAAATGTTGTACTGGTAGGAAACATTGCTGAGGGAGTGTTGCACTGTTGAAGGTGAGTACCAAGGACAAGATGTACTATCAGTGCACAATATTGGAGGCTGCATTGTCAACGGGGCAGTAATAAGGGTGCACAGTACTGTTAGAGGACAGTACTGACAGAGCACTGCACTGTCAGAGGGGCAATAATGAGAAGAGTCCTGCATTGTTAAAGGTGCAGGACCTGGGACAAACTGCACTGTGAGGGCTTGTTCAGGTGAATATGTTATCAATTACCATGGCCCATATCTTAGGGGGTAGCTGTGCTCAGACAGCACTGACCCTTTCTGTAGTAACTGCCTTCTGCCCAAATGTGCTCTGAAACAAGTATGCATATGCACTGGGCGTTCACTGTAGAACAAGTGTCAATGCTTGTGATTTGATTAGCCTGGTGTGAGAACTCAAATCCCTGAGGTCATTTGTAGGCCAGGGTACATTCTGAGTGATACAGTCTAAGTGTGACCCTCTGCACAGGCCCTGGCCCTCTAAAGAACCCCCTCCATGGGCAATTCTGGCGTCATCATCTGAGGATAGCAGAGTAAGGCAGAGGCATGTTTTAAGAGAGGGAGGCCTTACTTGGGTCCTGGGGGAAGAAGGTGTTGGACCCGCTGCCACATCAGTTTCTCTCCCACCGTATCCCTCTGACTCTTACTGTCTTGACTTCCATGATAGCTGGTCATGACAGAACATGTGTGGTCTCTGCACCACCTAGTGGTGCCATTCACAATATACATGGTCTGAAATAGAGTCAACAAGGTCTGAAAGAAAAGTTCTGAGGAAGGGTCACCAGACCCGAAACGTTAACTCTGATTTTTTTCTTCACCGAGAGCTGCCAGACCTGCTGAGCTTTTCCAGCAACTTCTGTTTTTGTTTCTGATTTGCAGCATCCGCAGATCTTTATTCTGAAAGAAAAGTCGTCGGTATAGATTATGGGATTTCGGTAAAATTATAACATTGCATCATTCAAGAACAAAGAGGTTGTCATTGGTAATAGGGCATTAGCGACTAAGACCAGATGTGAGAAAGATAGGAGAAAGTTATAATTAAAGGTATTTTATCTGATTACACAAAGAATTTGTAGCATGATAATGAATTAATGACAAAAATAGACATCATGGATTTTATAAAGCAGTCATTATTATTGTGGATGATGTAGTTGCAGGGTGATCTAAGTTGGGAACCACATATTGACTTTTAGAAAAGGCAAAAAGAATAGAAATAGAGGTTCAATAGATCATAGAGTCATGGAGTCATAGAGGTATTCAGCATGGCAACAGACCCTTTGGACCAACTCGTCCACGCGAACCAGATATCCTAAATAAATCTGATCCCACTTGCCAGCATTTAGCCCATATCCCTCCAAACCCTTCCTATTCATATACCCATCCAGATGCCTTTTAAATGCTGTAATTGTACCAGCCTCCACCACTTCCTCTGGCAGTTCATTCCATATGCACACCGCCCTCTGCATGAAAACATCCCTTCTATATCTTTCCCCTCTCACCTTAAACCAATACCTTCTAGTTTTGGACACCCCCAAACTGGAGAAAAGACCTTGCCTATTTAGCCTATCCATTCCCTTCATGATTTTACAAGCCTCTATAAGGTCACCTCTGATGCTACAGAGAAAATTGCTCCAGCCTATTTGGCCTCCCCCTATAGCTCAAACCATCTAATCCTGGCAACATCCTTGTAAATCTTTTCTGAATCCCTTCTAGTTTCACAACATCCTTCTTATAGGAAGGAGAACAGAATCGCACGCAATACTCCAAAAGAGGCCAAACCAATGTCCTATACAGCAGCAACATGACCTACCAACTCTTGTCCATATTGCACTGACTAATAAAGGCAAGCATACCAAATGCCTTCTTCACTATCCTATCTACCTGCAAATTCACTTTCAAGGAACTAAGCAGTGGACCCAGCACCAATTCTTATGGCACATGGCTGGTCATAGGTCTCCAGTCTGAAAAGCAACTCCCCACCATCACCATCTGTCTTGTACCTTTGAGCAGTTCTGTATCCAAATAGCCAATTCTCCCTGTATTCCGTGAGATCTAATCTTGCTAACCAATCTACCATTAGGAACCCTGTTGAGCATCTTACTGAAGTCCAAATTAAGGATGAGATAAATAGTTCAGAAAATCAAGATACAGATCAGTGTCGATGGAAGTAAGAATGACAAACACTGGTAGGAATAGCTTCTAGGGCACCTATCTGTAAATATAATGTTAGACAGGTGCTAATACAATCATAGGTAGGAACTTTAATCTTCTTATAGATTGGGCAAAACAAACTGGTAAAAGTACCTTCAAAGGTGCATTACAAGATACAGTGATGACAGTTTTCTAAAACATCATATTAGGGAAGCACTAGAGACCAGGATAATTTAAACCTACTATTGTGTTATGAGGCAGTTCACCAACTTATAGTAAGTGATTGTCTCTCTGGAACAGCGATCATTAAATGACAGAATTTCACATTAAATTTGGAAGTGATGTAATTAAGGCCAAAACTAGGGTAATAAATTTAAACAAATCTATGACAGGTAAAATGCCTGAGGCAAATTGGGAGATTAGATTAAAACATGATATTGGATAAGTAAAGAAATCATTTAAAGAAATAATTCATAATTCTCAATATACATAAATTCCTCTGAAGAATAAAAAAAATCAGTGTAATTGCTGACGAGTCATGGCTGTCTAAAGTAGTTAAGGATAGTATTTAATTTAAAAAAAAACTTAATAACCTTTTTGGCAACATTATCTCCTGAGGATTCCATGGGTCTAAAAATCAGCAAAAGCTGACAAAGAAATTGATAAAGAAAGGGGAAATAGAACAATAGAATAAATTAGCAAGAAATATAAGAGCTTCAAGAAGTATGTAAAGACAAAATAATTCACGAAATTAATGTGAGCTTCAAAGAGCTAAAGACATGAGAAATTATAATAGAAACTGGGGAACTGGAAGAGGTATTGTGTCTGTTTTCAGAGGAGAAAACACAAAAAAAATCTGAAATAATGATGAATGAGAGTGACGAAATTCCAGAAGCACTGGAAAAGTTGACAGCACTGTGGGTGTATCTATGTCACATAGTGTACACTATTCAAGAAGGCGGCTGTCCACACCTTCTCAAAAGCAAATAGGGATAGGCAATAAATGCTGCACATTACATCCTGTCAAATAATATTTTTATAAAAGGACTGAAATCTGACAAATTCCATGCCCCAGGATTTTAAACAATGTGACTGCAGGAGACAGTGAATGCATTGGATTTGATCTTCCAGATCCCCTAAATTCTACAATGGTTCACATGCATTGGCAGGTGGCACTTACCTCCACTAGCCAAGAAGCATAAAATGAAGAAAAGGAACTATACTGGCCTGTAGCCTGACATTAATAATAGGGATTATTTTTTCTTTATTCAATGTGATGGTGTGTTGATGGCTAGACCAACATCTGTGAATACATGATTCATACAAATACACGGTGCTTCTAGCTCAACTGATGACCTCAGATTGGCTGTTTGTACAGCTGTTAGCTAGTGCATGTATAGCAACGATTGGCATGTGTTGCCTAATGATTCGCTCATTATTAATCTTGTAAACAGGGCCCTGCCCAATTTCTCACTTAAATATATATGCCAACTCTGCCCCGCAGCTGAATGTGGCAATGAGTTCCAAAGACTCTTAAACCTCAGAGTAGAAATTCTTCCTTATCTCAGTCTTAAATTGGTGTCCCTTTATGCTGAGACTATGCCCTCTGGTCCTAAACTCACCCTGAGGGGAAACATCTTCTCAGTATTTACCCTGTCAAGCCCCTTAAGAAACCTATCTGTTTCAATCAGAAGAATATCTAAACTATTTGTATCCGTCTTGCAACTTGCCTTTCCACTTATTTGTGTCATCTGCAAATTTGGCTACAGTACCTTGGCTTCCTTCCTCCATGTCATTAATATGTATTGTAAACTTTTGCCATCCTTCAGGGTAATGGCTTTTGTCACTTGCCAATGAATCAGCAATCTTTTTCATGCACAGAAAGTTACTGCAATTATTTGAAATTTGGTATTTTTGTGCTTGCCCTTATGACTGCATGGGCAAAGATTAGGCAACATGTGTTTCTCCTTTCACCAATATTCATGATTGGACAATGTTGGTATGCTGAGGGAGTCACGTGCCCTTCTCAATATTATGGCTGCTGGTATCTAAGGGCACCTTCACTATGAGGTCATGAATTAACGCTATCTCATTGCATGATACCAAGTCTAGTACAGCCTGCCATCTGGTTGCCCAAATGAGTTTCTTCATGACAACTGACTTCTGGCTCTTCAGAACAGCAGTGGCACGTCAATGAAGGTCCTTTCGGTTCTTGTTCTTACGGATGATGTGTCGCAAACTGTTTAGGGCAGCCCAGCCATTCTTGTTGATTGTAAACTTTTCATAGATGTTGCTGACTTGCGTTGACCAGCTGGCTTTTTGAGAATGACCACCATTTCTTTGCCATCTGCTGCTAGCTCTACACCTACAGTTATGTGGTGTAGAAGTCCATTGCCACAGAAAGAATTTCTGAACTTCAGATTGTTGGACTCAGTGCTATAGACCACTCATTACTTCTAATCAGGAAACTAGAACAGTTCCAGATGATCATCCATTAAAGGTGAGCTGACATCTCTGAACCTTCTCACACCACTGCAGTAAATAAAGTATAACAGTGATGAGTATAACCCCTGTATGACATTTCTATTACTTACTGAGTGTGTTTTTACATTTATTTCAGGAGGTGTGTTGTTGGCTTTAACATAGATTTTTTGAGGGATGTTACTGTCTCGAAGCTTCGCTTGATCAGGCTTTACTGTGGTTATGAGTTGTCTCTTGATGATCTGGAATATTTAATCAACAGGCACACTCCTGGTCCCATAGGTTAATAAAAAGCTTACTGTATATAAGGGCTGTTGTGGCACAGTGGTAGTGTCTCTTCCTTTGGGCCAGAAGATGTAGGTTCAAGTCTAATCTGTGTTGGAATTTTCCACAACATATTGATTCAAAGCAGGGGTTCTAATTTGATCAAAATTGAATTCAAATTTGGTTGTTTTTTTGAGGAGGTGACCAAGTGTGTAGATGAGGGTACCACAGTTGATATAGTTTATTTGGATTTCAGCAAAGTGTTTGACAAGATCCCAATAGGAGATTTATCAAGAAGGCAAATGCATATGGGATACAGGGTAATTTGATAAAGTGGATTCAAAATTAGCTCAAAAGTAGGAGACAGAGGGTAATGACAGAAGGCTGCTTTAGAGACTGGAAGCCATTATCCAGTGACGTACCACAGGAATCTCTGCTGGGTTCCCTAGATTCATCATTTATATAAATGACGGTATGGGGGAAGTTGGATTAGTAAGTTAGCAGATATTACAAAGATTGGTTGGGTGGTTAATGGTGAGGTTGAGTGTCTTGGGCTACAAGAAGATATAAACGGGATAGTCAAATAGGCAGATAAGTGGCAAATGGAATCTAACCCTGAAAAGTTTGAGGTGATATACTTTGGAAGGAGTAATTTGGCAAGAAAATGTTTAATGAATAACATGACACTAGGAAGTTGTGTGGAACAAAAGACCTTTGCGTATTTGTCCAAGGATCACTGGAAACACGTGCTCGTAGGGCAGTGAAAAAGGCATATGGGGCGCATGCCTTTATCAATCAAGACACAGATTACAAAAGCAGTGAAGTCATGTTGGAGTTGTGTAGGACTTTAGTGCTGCCACGTTTAGGGTATTGTGTGCAGTTCTGGTTGCCATATTATAGGAAGAATGTGAGTGCACTGAAGGGAGTCCAGTGGAGATTCACCAGAATGCTGCCTGGGATGGAAAATATAACTTTTGAGGAAAGTTTGGATAGGCTTGGGTTGTTTTCATTGGAGCAGAGAAGACTGACGAGTGATCTGACTGAGATGTACAAGATTATGAGGGCATGTATAGAGTGGATAAGGAGCAATTGTTCCCCTTGGTTGAAGAGTCAGTCATGAGGAGATGAAGATTTAAGGTAAGATTTAAGATTTAAGGGGCAGAAGGTGAGGAAAAACTTTTGTATGTATTCAATATAGGAGTTGGGAGGTCATGTTGCGGCTGTACAGGACATTGGTTCAGCCACTTTTGGAGTATCGTGTGCAGTTCTGGTCTCCCTCCTGTAGGTAGAATGTTGTGAAACTAGAAAGGGCTCAGAAAAGATGTACGAGGATGTTGCCAGGGTTGGAGGGTTTGAGCTGTAGGAAGAGGCTGAATAGGCTGGGTCTCTTTTCCCTGGAGCATCAGAGTCTTTGGGGTAACCTTATAGAGAGTTATAAAGTTATGAAGGGCATGGATAGGGTAAGTAGGCAAAATCTTTTCCCTGGGGTGAGAGAGTCCAAAACTAGAGATCGTAGGTTTAAGCTGAGAGGGGAAAGATATAAAAGGGACCTAAGGAGCAACTTTTTCACACAGTGGGTGGTGCATGATGGAACAAGCTGCCAGAGGATGTGGTGGAGGCTGGTAGAATTACATTTAAAAGGCATTGAGATGGGTAAATGAATAGGAAGGGTTTAGAGGGATATGGATCAAATGCTGGCAAATGGGACGGATTTATATAGGATATATGGTTGGCATGGACAAGTTGGACTGAAGGGTCTGCTTCCATGCTGTATCTCTAACTCTATGAGATGGTGGTAACAGTCTGGAATGTGCTGCCTGGGAGCGTGGTAGGGGCAAGTTGCCTCACATCCTTTAAAAAGTACCTGGATTCATTCAAGGCTATGGGCCAAGTGCTAGTCAATGGGATTAAGTTGAAGGTCAGGTGTTTTTCACTTGTTGGTGCAGACATGATGGGCCGAAGGGCCTCTTCTGCACTGTATGGTTCTATTCTATGATTCTACAATTCTTGTGGTGCAGTGATAGTCCTCCTACCTGTGAACCAGAAGGCTTGAAGTCAAGTCTCACCTGCTCCAGAGCTGTGTCATAACACATTTGAACAGTTGATTAAAGTATCTAATAACATCCTGACTGGCCTTGACAAGGTGAAGTTGGAAAGGCAGATTCCTATTGTCCTTGGCGCACCTTCTAGGGGGCAATTTGCAAATCAAGGTTGCTCTACAGCACAGAGGTCAGCATAAATGTTACGTGAGGCCTGTGCAACTTTAGAGCTCTCCATCTCAGAAGGCAGTGTAAGCAGGATTATTAAATATTTTTAATGATGAGGTATATAGATTCATGTTTGGCAGAAGAATCAAGGGTAGATGAGAATGTGTAATTTGAAACAAACTGATCAGCTATGATCTTAGTGAATGATGAAGCAATCTCAGGAGGGGGAATGAATGGTCTAATTCTGCTCCTAATTTGTGTGTTCATAAAATGATATTCTGGGTGGACCCTGGGCACATATTTTTTCTCATAAATTGGCACCTGTGGTGACAAAAATGGAAGCTGTACAGAGACAAGTTTTTGTGGCCAATAATTGGAGGCAAGCTTTTATCAGAAAAGGGAATCAGTGGCGTAATGGTAATGTCCCTGCATTAGGAATTGAGTGACCCAAATTAATGCTCTTTATTAATGCGCAGCTAGAACGTATAGCCAATTAGGACAGCTAAAATATAAAGCTAGTCCAATAATGCCATGAAACTATGATTGATTATCATAAAAATCCATCTGATTCATTCATGTCCTTCATTACAGAAGGAAATTCTGCTGACTGTACCTGGTCTAGCCGGCATGTAACAGCAACCCACAACAATGTTGATAGCTCTCAACGCCCCTAGAAATGGCTGAGCAAGCACGCAGTTCAAGGGCAATTAGGAAACAAATTCCACTGGATAAAATAAAGGGAAACAAAATGAGTAAAATAAGCAAATATTTATGAAGAGTCATAACAAATGGGAGAGGCAAAATCAAAATTCTTGAGGAATGAAGTATAAAGAGCAGACACATCAGCAAGCTGTAGCAGCATAAAGAAGTGAATGATGTTTGTATGCAGCAGAACTCAGGCATACAATGGAGGCAATGCTGCCGGAGACAATTTAGCTGCAATGATAAGAAAATGGGTAACTATTCTTAATATCTCCTTATGTGGATCAGATATCAAATCTTGTTCGGAAACACTCATGTTTTATGACATTTTACTTGGTAGAACTCCTCAACTGGTGACAATTGAAGCTCAACCCATTCATCTTCTAATGAGCATGTCTGCTGAGGTGTCCAGTGGGGCATATGCTTATTCTCAGTGCTGCAATTTCTCATTCTTCACCCAGTAAATCACAGAGAATCTTGCTGCAATTTTCCATTTTTTTTAAAGAAAACAAAGTAACCAGTGTTGGAACTCTATGTGTTGGGCTTCTAGCATCAGCGCAAAGAGTGTCAAGCTGGGGGCTGCAGATATTCTGTGTCACCAGAGGCTCTTGGAGTATTTCTCGTAATCGATTCCTTTTTGCTTGGATACTTTCATAACATCGCCATTCTTAGTCTCGTCAGTAACAAGTTGCAAGAATCCTTCGGCGACCAAAGATGGGCTGAAAAAACAAAAAGATGTTTTTTTCCTTTGAAAAAAACAAGAATATTTTAGCAATTTATCAAATCACAGGTTGGAATAAGTTCCATACGGCATAGAAGGAGGTCACCTTGCTTGTACTGGTTCTTTGAAAGAGCTGTCCAATTAGTCCTTTTCTGCCTCCTTCTCTATAATTTTCTTCACAACCCAGTTCTTTGGACAAGCTCTTGATCACTGCCCCAAATATCTGTGGCTCAGATTTCAAATCTTGTTTGGTTACAGTGCCCTGAAGTGCCTTGTGACATTCTACTGCATGAAAAGTGCTATATAAATGCAAGCTAGTATTGTCATATTGTAATTTTCATGAAGGTCTGCACAGATTTCCCTCTCAAGAATTTATCCAATTCCCTTTCAAAACAACTGGGATTGATTTTGCTTCCATCACCTTTCCAGATCACAACAGCTCACTGCATAACTTTTCATTTGTTTATCTGAACGTTGGTAATATTCATCACTTTACAGAAAATGTCAATACTCAGACAACAATTGCTTATCTTCTAACCACTGGAAAAATTTATGTCAATTAAAAAACATCTAAGTCTTGATCCTCGGCTTGGGAACTGTAGTCCTGACTAATTCAGAGGATCTGCAACTAATCCCTACCTCCACACAGGGAGATGAGTTATCACAGAACTGTTCATGATACAGAAGTAGGCCATTCATTCCATTGTGTCTTCAAACTGGCTCTTCAAATGAACGTCAGTACCTACTCCCAATTTCCTACCTTTTCTCCTTATCCTTGCATATTATTTCTATCCAAATAGTCATCCAATACCCTCTTGAACGCCTCAATTGAACCTGCCTCCACCACACTTCCAAGCAATGCCTTCCAGACCCTGACCACTCTCTGTGTGAAAAGGATTTTTCTTACAATCATATCTGCTTCTTTTGCAAATTATATGGGAAAGGTAATCCCAGGGAGACTCTGGAGAGGGAGGCCTGAGGAGAAGTTATGAAGATAGATTGGAGAAGTTGGCACTGTATTTCTCGGAGAAGTGAAGGCGAGAGAAAATTTGATTAAAGTGTTTAACATTGTGAGGGGGGCTGCGCAGAGTAGCTTGGGAGAAATGTTTTTCTCATAAAAGGATCAAGAACAGGAGGGAACAGATACGAGGTAATTTGCAAAAGAAACATGTGAGATGTGAGAAAAACCCTTTTAACATAGTGAGCAATTTGTTTCTAGAACACACTGCCTGGAAATGTGGTAGAACTAGGTTCAACTGAGGAATTCAAGAGGGCATTGGGTGATTATTTATAAACAAACAACATTCACCAAAATTTAGACCTGGAGAAGGGAGATTCCAGGAGGGGATACCAGAAACAGTAGTCCAAGGAGGTTGGGGAAGGCACTAGAAGGACAGACAGGGAGAACTTGGGAAGTCAATACTTGAGGAAAACTAACGCGACATTTGGACATCTAAATGAAGGGAGACTCAGGATAGGAAAGAAGAACAGGAATGGATGACTGTTGCAAAGTTGGCTAGAGTACTTGTGGATTGGGAGGCAGGAAGTTAGAATTTGGTGTTTGTAAAATGCAAGGGGGGAAACATTTAAAAGATCATGTGCTTTTTCTGTGCTGAGAGACCTGTTCTAACCTGTCCATCTTCCTACTCAGCTATGAGCTCCGCTGTTCCCACTGACCAATCACAATAGCCCCTTACCTGCATTCCACCTATCACCATCCCACCTACCTTTTCCAGCCCCACCACCCCTTTATTTATTTCTGGGTTCCCCTCCCCCTACCCAGTCCTGACAAAGGATTTCGGCCCAAAACGTTGACTTTCCTGTTCCTCTGATACTGTCTGACTTGCTATGTTTGTCGAGCTCCACGTTTATCGACTCTGGCTTCTGGCATCTGCAGTCCTTACTGTCTCCTAGTCATAAATATAGGACAGAATGGCAGAAAATGTAGTGTTCAGTATGAGGTATCTGAGAGTTTGGAGCCTTTCCCAGACTGCCATATATCCAAGAAAACACTTTGTCTTGAGTCACTCTCGCTCAGGGTTCTGGAGTTGGATTGTAAGTTAGAGATTTGTTAGATCATTTTACCCAGGATATTAGATGGGGAATGAAGCTTCCTCTGCACTGTCTCAGAAACACTACCATGGCAGGTACAGTATAGATTAGATACACAGTAAAGTTCCTTCTCACTGTCGTATTTAACACTTCAGGAAAAGGAGCTAATCAAATCAATGTTCAAATAATGCCACTGGTCAACAAGAGTTAGAAGATTCAGATTCCAACTTCTGTTCTCACTCTATAATGCCCAATGCTGCCACTGCTTGTACAGCAAGCTGGTCCAGTCCAGTAAATTGCCCCAGCATTTCTGGTGATGAAATACTCTTCATGATCGGCGTATCGGTGAATGCCGGACAGAGGACATTGATCCGAACTCCGAGGCTCTCTGCTGCGGAGGCTCCCTAAATGCAGGAAACAAAGCAAGACAGGGATTGGAGATTAGCACAGCGCTGAAAATCAAGCAGTGGTCACAATGCATTAGCCGCCAAAATAGAATTTTTTTTTTAAATAAACTTTCATGGAATGTGGGAATTCTGGCAAGACCAGCACTTCTTGTCTGTTCCTATAAGTGAATGGATTGCTAAAGCATTTCAAAGAGCAGATCAAAGCAAGAACATTGCTGTATGTCTAGAGTCACATATAGGCCAGTCTGGATATAAACTGGAGGTTTCCTTCCTGAAAAGAAATCACCCAACCTGCTAGGTTTTTGTGACAATCCAATAACCTCATGGTTACTAGTGGGTGCTCAAGGAGCAGAATGGCCTACTCCTGCTCCAATTTCCCATGCTCCTTTACAATTCAAAAACCTGTGCTGTCACTAGATTTTTAATTCCAGATGTATTTAATTAACTGAATTTCTGCTTCTGTTTTAGTTGAGCTGGCATCAACACTCAGCCAATACGCACTTGGTAAATGCCAACAAAGTTAACTTCTTCAGATGAAGTTTGGGAGCTGAATGTGTTTCTGGATATTTAGTCTACATTTCTGGATTATAAAGGAGCATGGGAAATAGGAGCAGGAGTAGGCCATTCTGCTCCTTGAGCACCCTCCACCATTCAACTAACGTGTAGCTGGTATTCTAACTTAACTCCAGCCTCCTGAACTGTCCCCATATCCCTTGATATCTTTATTATTGAGGAATCCATCATCAACCTCCATCTCAAATATCCTGTATAATAGAACCACAATGGCATCCTGGTGCAGAGAATTCCAAAGACTCACCACTGTCTGAGTGAGGAAATTCTATTTCATCTTTGTCCTAAATGGCTTACCTCTTTTTTTGAGACTGTGAATCCGGTTCTAGACTGCACCCAGTCACGGATATGACCTTCCTGCGTCTAGCCTGTCAATCCCTGTAAGAATTTTATATGCTTTCATGAGGTCATCTTTCTCAATTCAAGAGAATACAGGTCAAGTTCTCCTCTTTCTCTACTTATAGGACAGTCCTGAATCCCAGGAATCTTACTGATGAGTCTTTATTGCACTCCCTCTCACTCCTTCTATTGTAAGTGTATCCTTAACTTAAGTAAGGAGACCAAAACTGCACACATTACTCTAGGTGTAGTTTCATCAAAACTCTATACACTAGTCGTAGTCTCACCAATGCTCTATACAACTTCAGCAAGGCCGCTTTACTCCTGTACTCAAAAACCCTTACATTAAAGGTTAATATGTTATTTACTTTTCTAATTCCTTGTTGCACCTGCACTTTAGCTTTCAGTGACAATGCACAATGACACCCTGATCCCTTTGGACATGAGCATTTCCTAACCTATCACTGTTTAAGGAAAGTCCTGCATTTCTGTTTTTCTTACCAGAGTGGATAACTTCATGTTTTTTTTTCTACATTACGTACTATTTTCCTACTCTTGCCCATTCACTTAGCTGTCTAAATTCCCTGAAAGCCTCTCTGTATCCTCTTCACAACTTGTATTCCCATCTAGTTTGGTGCCATCAGGAAACTTGGAAATATTACAATTGATTGCCACATCCACATGCCTGTGATACAGGTTGTGAATAACCGTTGTCCAAACTCTGATTTTTGTAATGCACCATGAGACACAGCCTGTCAACATAAGAATGATCTGTTTACTCTTGCTCACAGTTTTCTGTCTATTAATCAAGTTTCAGTCCATTCCAGTATATTATCTCCATTCTTAGTCATTGGGGACAGAGGGTAGCGGTGGAAGGATGCTTTTCAGAATGGAGGGTTGTGACTAGTGGTGTCCACAGGGATCAGTGTTGGGACCTCTGCTGTTCATGATCGACATAAATGATTTGGAGGAAAATGTAGCTGGTCTAATTAGTAAGTTTGCGGATGATACAAAGATTGATGAAGTTGTGGATAGTGAGGAGGATTGTCAGAGGGTACAGCAGTTCATAGAACATAGAACATAGAATAGTACAGCACAGTACAGGCCCTTTGGCCCACAATGTTGTGCCAAACTTTTACCCTAATCCTAAGGTCTATCTAACCTCTACCCCTACCTTATACTATCATCAACAGTTCAGTTGGAGGCATAGGCAGAAAAATGGCAGATGGAGTTTAATTTGGACAAATGTGAAGCAATGCATTTTGGAAGGTCAAGTACAGATGGAAATTATATTGTGAATAGCAGAACCTTTAGGAGTGTTGATATGCAGAGAGATCTGGGTGTGCAGGTCCACAGATCACTGAAGGTAGCAGTGCAAGTAGATAAGGTAGTAAAAAAAGGCCTATGGCATGCTTACCTTCATTGGAAGGGGCATTGAGTACAAAGATAAACAAGTTATGCTGCAGCTTATTAGAACTTTAGCTAGGCCACAGCTGGAATTTTGTATACAGTTCTGGTCACCACACTACCAGAAGGATAAGGATGCTTTGGAGAGGGTACAGAAAAGGTTTATCAGGATGTTGTCTGGTATGGGACATTTTAGCTATGAAGAAAGGTTGGATAGACTGGGTTTGTTTTCACTGAAATGCGGGAGGATGAGGGACAACCTGGTAGAAGTTTAGAAGATTGTGAATGGCATGGAGAGAGTGGAAAGTATGATCAATTATTAGGGGCCACAGGTTCAAGGTGCGAGGGGGGATGTGCGAGGCACGTTTTTCACACAAAGTGTGATGAGTGCCTGGAACACACTGCCAGAGGAGGTGGTGGAAGCAGACACAATAGCAGCATTTGAGAAACACCTGGATAAATACATGAATAGGAAGGGAAAAGAGGGATACCAATCCTGTAAGTGAAGACGGTTTTAATATAGAAGTGCAAAATGTGTCAGCACAGGCTTGGAGGGTCGAAGGCCCTGTTCGTGTGCTGTGTTGTTCTCTTATCTTATATTCTCTAATTTTGCTTATTAACATCCTATAAAGTTTTCTGAAAATCCAAATAGACCACATCCATCTATCCTTATCTATTGAGCTAGTCAGCTATTCAAAAAAGCAGGCTTGTCAAATATGACTACCCCTCATAAACCCACGCCGACTTTGCCCAATGCACCATTATTTTCTCAGCGATCAGTTGTCACATTCCTTATAATAGATGCTGACATTTTCTAGAACATAGAACAGTACAGCACAATACAGGTCCTTTGGCCCACGATGTTGTTCCGAACTTTTACCCTAATCCTAAGGTCTATCTAACCTCCATCGCTACCTTATACTGTCATCCATATGCCTATCTAATAGCTGCTTAAATGCCCCTAACGAGGCCGACTCCACTACCCTCTCCGGCAATGCATTCCACACCCCTACCACTCTCTGAGTAAAGAACCTACCTCTGACGTCTCCCCTATATCTACCTCCACTCACTTTAAAACTATGCCCCCTCGTAATAGCTACCTCCACCCTAGGAAAAAGTCTCTGGCTGTCTACTCTATCTATAACCTCTGATCATTTTGTACACCTCTATCAAGTCACCTCTCATCCTTCATCATTCTAAAGTGAAAAGCCCTAGCTCTCTCAACCTTTCCTCTGCACCTTTTCCAACACCTCCACATCTTTCCTGTAATGAGTTGACCAGAACTGGACACAATACTCCAGATGTGGCCGAACCAGGCTTTTGTATAGCTGGAGCACAACTTCATGGCTCTTGAACTCAATCCCTCTATTAATGAAAGCTAACACACCATACGCCTTCTTAACAACTCTATCCACCTGGGTGGCAGCTTTCAGGAACGGTGAACGTGAACCCCAAGATCCCTCTGCTTCTCCACACTGCCAAGAATCTTTCCGTCAACCCTGTATTCTGCTTTCAAGTTTGTCCTTCCAAAATGAATCACCTCACACCTCACATTTTCTGTACTATTGATGTTAGGTTAACAGATTTATAATGCCCTATTTGCTCTCTTCTTCTCTTAAATTGTAGGATTACATTTCATCATCTTTTAATCTGCAGAACTGTTCCAGAATCTACTGGATATTTTGTAAATAAGAACCAAGGCATTCACCATTTTAATTGTTGTTAATTCATTCATGGGATGAGGGTGTCGCTGGCCAGCATTTATTACCCATCTTTAGTTGCCCTGAGGGCAGTTAAGAGTCAACCATATGCTTAAACAAAGGAGACTATGAAGGAATGAGGAAGGAGTTAGCTAAGGTAGAATGGGAGCAAAAACTTTATGGTGGGTCAATTGAGGAACAGTGGAGGACTTTTAAAACGATTTTTCACAGTGCTCAGCAGAAGTATATTCCAGTGATAAGGAAGAACTGTAGGATGAGAGAGCCAGCCATGGATGTCTAAGGAAATAAAGGAAAGTATCAGATTGACAAAAAAACACATACAAAAAAACAAAGAGTAGTGGGAAACTAGTAGACTGGGAAATCTTTAAAGGTCAACAGAAAGCCACAAAAAAGTTATAAAGAAAAGTAAGATCGATTATGAGAGTAAAACTAGCTCAGAATCTAAAAACAGGCAGCAAAAGTTTCTATAAATATGTAAATCGTAAAAGAGTGGCGAAGGTAAACATTGGTCCTTTAGAGGATGAAAAGGCCAATTTAATAACTGGGAATGAGGAAATAGCCGAGACATTAAACAGTTATTTCGTGTCGGTCTTCACAGTGGAAGACACAAATAACATGCCGAAAACTAATGGCAAGAAGGTTATAGCAGGCGAGGACCTAGAAACTATCATTATCACTAAGGAGGCAGTGCTGGGCAAGCTAATGGGGCGAAAGGTAGACAAGTCTCCTGGCCCTGATGAAATGCATCCCAGGGTACTAAAAGAGGTGATGGGGGAAATAGCAAATGCACTAGTAATTATTTACCAAAATTCACTGGACTCTGGGGTGGTTCCCGCAGATTGGAAAATAACCAATGTGACGCCAATGTTTAAAAAAGGAAGTAGACAAAAAGCAGGTAACTATAGGCCAGTTAGCTTAACTTTGGTAGTGGGGAAAATGCTTGAATCTATCATTAAGGAAGAAATAGCAAGACATCTGGATATAAATTGTCCTATTGGGAACACCCAGCATGGGTTCATGAAGGGTAGGTCATGTTTAACTAATTTGGTGGAATTCTTTGAGGACATTACTTGCATGGTGGACAATGGGGAACCTGTGGATGTGGTGTATCTGGATTTCCAGAAGGCATTTGACAAGGTGCCACACCAAAGGCTGCTACATAAGATAAAGTTCCACAGTATTACAGGTAATGTATTGGCATGGATAGAGGATTGGTTGACCAGTAGAAAGCAAAGAGTACGGGTAAATGGGTGTTTTTCTGGTTGGCAGTCAGTGGCTAGTGGTGTGCCTCAGGGATCAGTGTTGGGACCGCAATTGTTTACAATTTACATAGATGATTTGGAGTTGGGGACTAAGTGTAGTGTGTCAAAACTTGCAGATGACACTAAGGTGAGTGGTAAAGCAAAGTGTGCAGAAGACACTGAAAGTCTGCAGAGGGATATAGGTGGTCTAAGTGAGGGGGCAAAGGTCTGGCAGATGGAGTAGAATGTTGATAAGTGTGAGGTCATCCATTTTGGTAGGAATAACAGCAAAATGGACAATGTTTTAAATGGTAAAAAATTGCAGCATGCTGCTGTGCAGAGGGACTTGGGTGTCCTTGTGCATGAATTGCTAAAAGTAGGATTGCAGGTGCAGCAGGTAATTAAAAAGGCAAATGGAATTTTGTCTGCTATTGCTCGAGGGATGGAGTTTAAAAACAGGGAGGCTATGCTGCAGCTGTATAGAGTCCTGGTGAGGCCACACCTGGAGTACTGTGTGCAGTTTTAGTCTCCTTACTTGAGAAGAGATATACTAGCACTGGAGGGGCTGAACAGAAGATTCACTCGGTTGATTCCAGAGTTGAGAGGGTTGGATTATGAGGAGAGACTGAGTAGACTGGGATTATACTCATTGGAATTCAGAAGAATGAGGGGAGATCTTATAGAAACATATAAGATTATGAAGGGAATAGATAAAGTGGAGGCAGGGAGTTTGTTTCCGCTAGCAGGTGAAACTAGGACTAGAGGGCATCGCCTCAAAATAAAGGGAAGCAGATGTAGGACTGAGGTCAGGAGGAACATCTTCACCCAAAGGGTTGTGAATCTGTGGAATTCCCTGCCCAGTGAAGCGGTTGAAGCTACCTCGCTAAGGCAAGGCTAGATAAATTTTTGAACAGTAAAGGAATTAAGGGTTATGGTGAGCAGGCAGGTAAGTGGAGCTGAGTCTCAAAAAGATCAGCCATAATCTTATTAAATGGCGGGGCAGGCTCGAGGGGCCAGATGGCCTACTCCTGCTCCTAGTTCTTATGTTCTTATATGATTCCATTCATGTTACTCATAAACTTCTCAAGCAAGCAGAGAAGCTAAATGAAGAAGGTGAACAATAAAAGCATTACTAAAGAAGAATGAAGGTATAAATCTTGCATTATTAAGTTAATGATCGATTCCGCTATAGATTAAGATATTACTGTCAGAGTCACTGATGAGCAGGAGACCGAGAATCCAATTTCCATCTCTGCTTCAGAACTGACAATTGAAGATTACTCAGAATGACCAAAACAGAGTCAAGCAGCGCAAGGAGAAGCAAATGGACAAACATGAAATCTCAATAAAAGATGCAGAACACAAGACTTACCAGAGCTGTAGTCCAAGGAAAGAGAATGGGTATGAGACAAGGAGAGGGAATGAACGAAACAAAATATGGCAACTGAGACTATGGTTGAAGCAGATCATGGAATTATAATGAGAAAATTGCAATACATTGTAATAAATCATTAATGAAATCAATTGAAAGTTGGCACAATTTCTCAGAAGAAAATTCTGTAACCACCCAGGAGAGGAACTGTCACACGAATGCAAGAGTGCAGAATGAGATCAAAATCAGATCAGGGAGGTTGGTTAAAGTATCATAATGTGAAGTCTGAGATTTTGGGAAAAAGGGTGGGGATATGTTTAAAATATGAATAATAAGGCAGATTGGGGGAGAAGCAGAGTAATGGAGTTAACATTAGACAGATACACAATGGTGATGTCAGAGTCACATGATAAATCAGAGAGAACTGGAAGAGAGTAGAAGTTCTAAACTGGTGCAAAGAGGATACGTATTCAGATCAAGCTGTAAATGAAGAGTTCTTGCAAAGCGTTCCATTGAATCCAACAACATTGCTTCAGGAGACTAAACAGAGTTAGATCCAAAACACACAACAAAACTGAATCTGTTAGAGATCTAGCGAGTTGGATACTAAACTTATCAGAGACCCAGTAAATTATACCCTGAATCTATTAGAGATTCAGTGTGCTGAGCACTGAATTAGAGACTCGGTAAACTCAGATTTTTACCTATTGAAAATCCAGTGAGATAGGCCATGAATCTATTAGAGGATCTGAGGGAGATCAGACGATCCAGCAAATACAGGAAACACTTACAGCCACTGCCCTGGAGAATCCCACCACTCCATGCTTTGAAGCTGAATAGACTGGTCCAAAAATTACTGGATAGATTCCTGTTTAAGGGTGATAAAAGGGACAAAGAATAGGCTTAATTACTAGTCTGCACGTAAAGGTAAAGGATTTTATTTCCTATCAGTAAACCTGGGTCCAGGATTGAGGTCCATAAAACTGGAGATTTAACCTTGTTGGGTATAGAAATTAAAGAGCTGTGACATTCCAGGTGATGGGAAATTCCAAATGGGGAACGTGACAGAGACTGAAATTCTCAAGGGTCGTAATCCCAGGGTAGGGAAACTCTCCAAACAGTCAATGGGGGAGAGAGTTAATAACTTGCCTGACTGAAAATTCAGCTCACCACCACTGTGATCAAATTGCTCAATTTCAAACTGTATCCAGGCATAGAGTTCAAGTGTCAATCAGAGATTTTGGGCAGCAGATATCTGCTGGGTTCTGCCCAGTCTTCCCCTTTTTATGGCGTTGTAAAGTCAGGTTTTCTACAGATAGTGTTGCCTTAGTGGAAAGACACTGGCTGAAGGAGCAAAAACAGCAGAAGAATCAATGAAGGGTTATGACATTATTTTGGGTACAGATTGAATTGCATGGTGTCAGAAAGCCACCAACTATTGGTACCTGATACCCCCATATCCCAGCACAGGTGAGCACAAATTTCTTTGGTTTATGTAGAAGTGAGCGCTGAAAAGCCCATACCTCAAAGAGACCACAGAATCACTGAATATCATTGATTGTCACATGGTATCTTACACAACAGAAGGAGACCAGTTGGCCCATTGTGCTTAGATAACAGGGTGTGGAGCTGGATGAACACAGCATGCCAGGCAGCATCAGAGGAGCAGGAAAGCTGACGTTTCAGGTCGGGACCCTTCTTCAGAAATGGGGGAGGGGGTAGGGAGCTCCGAAATAAATAGAGAGAGGAAGGGTGGGGCTGGGGAAGGTAGGTGGGATGGTGATAGGTGAGTGCAGGTAGGCACTGGTGGGGATTGGTCAGTGAGGTGGGAGGAGCGGATAGGTGGGAGAGAAGATGGACAGGTTGTGTCAGGTCAAGGAGGCAAGGATGAGAGGGAGGGTTGGTCATGGGATGAGGCCGGGGGGGGTGGTGGGGAGATTTTGAAATGAATAAAGTCCACATTGAGACCATTGGGTTGTAGGAATATGAGGCGGAATATGAGGTGCTGCTCCTCCTGTTTCCGGGTGGCGTCATTGTGCTGGTGCTGTTTTTTCAAGTGAGTTCTCCAGTTAGTCCCAGGACCTTGCTCTTTACCTATATAACTGGTTACAACCAACTAGTTATCCAATCGGGGTATGTGAGTTTTATATCATAAAAATGAAGTCTGAACAATGTCTTATAAGCACATCTTCAACTAGTGTGTGGCCTAGAACCGGTACAGTTAGTGATTATACCCCGGGTAGGCACCAGGAAGTCTAACTCAGATACACAATGTACCTGGAATTGCAAGTGATGAAGCTACCTGGGTACACAGTCAACTAGTCTACAGCCAGGTACATGGTCAGCATATCTATCCCAGATACACGGTCACTGAGTATACTCAGAATATACATTCAATGGGGCTATTTCCAAGTATAAATTCAGTGACTCTACCACAAATACACATTTAGTGAGCGTACCCTTACACAATCAGAGCATCTGTCAGGTACACATCCAGTGAGTATACCCCAGGTACGCATTCGGTGAGTATATCACAGATAGACAGTCAGGGTTTCTATTGCAGGTACATAGTTAATGAATAAATCCCCAGGTACAGAATCAGTTGTCTATCCAAAGAACACATTCAGTGAGTATACACCGAGTACACTGTCAGTTCTTATGCCCCAAGTGCACAGGATTTATACATGTAAAGACTCTCCCTTTTATTTGTCTCTGTACCTTTTATTTTCACTTACACAAAATTGTCTCTCCCAAAGCAGAGTGCACTGTGCACCTGCCAGTTCTCTACTTAGGTGTGCAAATGATTACAGAGTGTTTGATTTATTTGAATATATATGAATACATCATTTTTCAGCCAATTTTAACTATTTACATGAAATGTCCCAGACCTGCCATGGAGGAAACATTGACTATTACTCCTCCTGCACCTCCAGTCTTTTTATTCATGCAATCTAGTCCAAGATAGGTTCCTCTGATCACACTGACCTGCAATAAAAGTGACATAATGTGATCATATACAGGCAACCGAACATAGAAAATAGGACCTGGAGTAGGCCATTCAGCCCTTTGAGCCTAATTGTCTAACTCAATAGCTTCCCTCCTTGCCTACCTATCTTTTGATTCTTTTAGCCCCAAGTGCTATATCCAGCTCCTTCTTCAAATCAATCAAGGTTGTGGCCTCAATTGCTTTGTGTGGTATCAAGTTCCACAGGTTCACCACTCTCTGGGTGAAGAATTTTTTCCTCATTTCAATCCAAAATGGCCCACTCCTTTGACTGTGACCCTGGTAATGGAATTCCCTACCTTCAGGAATATCCTTCCCGCATCTACCTTGTCTAATCTAATAGAATATTACGAGTTCATTCTTCTGAAATACAGCGAATATAATCCTAACTGAATTAACCACTCCTCATAAATCAGTTGTACTATCCGTGGAATAAGTTTAGTAAACCTTCGCTATTTTCCCTCCACAGCCAGAACATCATTCCTCAGATAAGGACACCAAAACTGCACACCATACTCTAGGTAGAGTTTCACCAAGGTCCTGTACAACTGCAGCACAACATTCTTACTCCTGTATTCGAATCTTCTCACTCTGAAGGCCAACATACCATTCGTCTTCTTCACCTTCCACTGCAATGCATGCTTACTTTCAGCGACTGGTGTACCAGGATAACCAGGTATCATTGCACATTTCCTTCTGTCAATTAATTACCATTCAGAAAATTATCTGCCTTCCTTGTTTTTTGTTACCAAAGTTGATAACCTCACTTCTATCTACATTGTGTTGTACAGGTAGTTCTCCTATAACGCGATAGTTGCATTCTTGTGGGACCTTGTGCTGTAGAAAATCGCCATAGGAAATCAAATTACAGGGAAATCGCTATAGAAAATTGCTATACCTGTAGAGCAGAAAATTTGTGTTGTCCAAACTGCATCCACTATTCATCAATCACATTACAGCCAATGTGCATTAACGATACATGTTTTATAGCAGAATTACCTGTATCTGCCATGCATTTACCCACTTGCTCAGATTGTCCAAATCACACTGAAGCATTTCTGCATTCTCCTCACTGCTCACCCACCCACCTAGATTTACACCATCTGAAAATTTGAAGATATTACATTTAGTTTTCTCATCTAAATCATGAATATATATTGTATATAGCTAGGGCTTTGCACTGATCCCCACTGGTTGTCACTTCGGAAAAGACCTGTTTATTCTTACTCTTTATTTCCTGCCTGTCAATTAGTTCTCTGTCCACCCTAATCCCGAGCACTTTAATCTTATCTGTTATTCTCTTACGTGGGACTTTATCTAAAGCCTGTTTAAAATCCAAATAAACCTCATCCACTGGCTTCCCATCATCAGCTCTACTAGTTACAGCCTTGAAGAATTCCAATAGATTTGTCAAGCATGATTTCTCTTCTGTAAATTCATGCTGAGTCTGTCCGATCCTGCCACTGTTTGCCAAGTGCTCCACCATTGAATCTTTTAAAATAGATTCTAGCATTTCTCTCAATACTGATATCAGGATGACTGGTCTGTAATTCCTGGTTTTCTCTCTACCTCTTTCTTTTAAATAGAAGGGTTACTTTCAACCTGTAGGAATTGTTCCAGAGCCTACAGAATCTTGAAAGATAGCCACCTATGCATCCAATATTTCTAGAGTCACTTCCTTAAGAACTCCGGGATATAGATTATCAGGCACTGGGATTTATCAGCCTTCAATCCCATGAATTTCCCCAACACCATTTCCCAACTGATTTCTTTCAGTTCCTCCCTTTCACAAAATCCTTTGTCTCCTACATTTCTGATATGTTATTTCCTGCTTTGTGAATACAGAACCAAAGTATGTATTTAGTTGGTCAGCCATTTCTTTGCTCCCCGTTGAAATTTACCCTGTTTCTGACTGTAAGCAACCTACATTTGCCATTTTGTTTTCTCTTCACATACCTATAGAAACTTTTAAACTTTTACAGTCAATTTTTATGTTCCCTGCAAGTTTACTTTTGTACTCTATTTTCCCTTTCTTAATCAATCCCTCTGTCCACCTGTGCTAAATTCTAAACTGCTCCTATTCCTCAGATCTGTTGTTTGTTCTTGCCAATTTCAATGCCTCTTCCTTGGATCTAATATTGTCAATAATTTCCTGTGTATGCCATGGTTTGGCCATCTTTTCTGTATTACTTCTATAGGAGGCAGAAATGAACAATTGTTGAAGTTCATCCATGTACTCTTTGAATATTTGACAATACCTTTCCACCTTAAGTAGCATTTCCCAATCTATCATAGCTAACTTGCACCTCATACCATTGTAGGTTCCTCTAATCAAAACCCTCCTCTAAGAATCAACTATTTGTCGCTCTCCATGTTGATGAAGAATTTTATCATTTTGTGGTTGCTCATTCCCACCTAGATTGCCAAGTATTGTAAGTAGTAACGATTAACTCACACTTACCAAGTTTATATCTAAACACCTCTGCCAGTTTGTTTCATTGCCTACTCCAGCGTTGTTGCAAACAATATCCAACTGTAGAAAGTTTTCTGTGGTTTTCTTGAATGCATCTGTAAGAGAAGTGTTATACAAGTGGTTAGGTCTGTGTGATATGCTAAGGACACAAAGTATACATCAGCACAACAAGCAATGCAATTTCACATGTTTCTGTTCTCTCTTACAGCCTCGTGGTAACATGAAACCACAATTAGATGTTCTTTAATAAAGTTCACGTTTTCCTTAACTCAGCAGACCTCGGTAAATATTCATTGGTACAATTAGGCAAATAACATCAATTAAGAACGGGTTAGAGATAACACAGTGAGGAGCTGGATGAACACAGCAGGCCAAGCAGCATCAGAGGAGCAGGAAGGCTGACGTTTCGGGTCTGGACCCTTCTTCAAAAATGGGGGAGGGGAAGGGGATTCTGAAATAAATAGAGAGAGAGAGAGAGGCGGATGGAAGATGGAAGATGGATTAAGGATTAAGGATTAAGGAGCAGATAGGCGGAGAGGAGACAGACAGGTCAAAGAGGCGGGGATGGAGCCAGTCAAGGTGAGTGTAGATGGGGATAGGTCAGTCCAGGGTGTTTTCTTGTGAAACCACCACTAGGTGGAGTAATAAGTGCATGCAGCAACACAGCGCTGCAGTGTGGCATCCGGACACTGCAGTGGAGCCGCAGCAACAGCTGGCTGTTACAAAGATGAGACTGCCAATCGAATCACACTGCGATTGTATCCACTGCTGAGGTGTACAAGTGTAAGCTTGCAGGGAACATAAAAGCTAACTGTAAAAGTTTCTGTAGGTATGTGAAGAGAAAATGATTGGTGAAGGCAAATTTACAGTCAGAAAGAGGGGAAATTAGTTTTGAGGAAGGGTGCCGCGACCTGAAACATTAACTCTGATTTCTCTCCACAGATGCTGCCAGACCTGCTGAGCTTTACCAGCAATTTCTATTTTTGTCTCTGATTTACAGCATCCACAGTTATGTGTTTTTTTTTACAGGGGGAACTACATTGGGGATCAAAGAAACGACGGACCAACTAAATACGTACTTTGGTTCTGCGTTCACAAAGGAAGGAATAACATTCCAGAAATAGCTAATTGACGCTTCCTTCCTTTCGGAACATCCATTTTCCACCTCGGACTGAATTGATGCAAAGAGCTGAGGTAGAACAGGGGAGCGTTTGTCACTTATAAAATTAATTCCTGCGAAATAAAGAGCAGGCTAGTCTGCACTGGCACTGATGTCAATGGTCACAACATGTGGTGACATCAGCAGTCTACATGCACGTGATTTCTGAAGGCTGTTGTGGCCCGCTGACATTACAGCCCTGTCTGCACATGCCCCAGTAGCCAATTTTGGTATTTGGTTTAATTACTCTTTGGGGAAAAAAAAAAGGCAACTTTATATCCAACAGATCAGGCTGTTCAACAACCATCTCCCGAGGGTGTGCAGCTTTGCATTTGCAGCTTTGTTGGGCGGTGTTGTGGGATGGAAGGAAGAATTTCTGGAACAAAACCGAAGCTGCTGGAAAATCTCAGCAGGTCTGGCAGCATCTGTGAAGGAGAAAACAGAGTTAACGTTTCGGGTCCAGTGACCCGAAGAAACGTTAACTCTGTTTTCTCCTTCACAGATGCTCCCAGACCTGCTGAGCTTTTCCAGCAACTTTGTTTTTTTTCCGGATTTACAGCATCCGCAGTTCTTTCGGAAGAATTTCTGGTATGGGAAGGGCAAGACAAACTTGACATGAAGGGTGGCTGCCATGTCCTGTGAGGCTTCAGAATACCGAAACAGCATGTGCACTATCCCTGGTTAACTAGCGTAATCTGAAGTCAATCAACATACTAAAAGAATTCTGCAGATTCACATGAACAGCGCTCCTGCATGCAGACAACAACAAATTATAATCCTACTTAGGAAGAGTAATTCCTTGGCAGGTTGGAAAGACCTGCAGCAATTTGAACTGCCCTTATTCCTTTCAGTTTCTGTTGGACATCAATCAACAGTATGAGTAAGTTTGTCGATGTTTTGCTGATGTACTGTGCCAGTGGGATCCTGTAGATTTCAGGGTACAATCCAGTTTAATGATGAAACCTGCCCATACCTTTCAATTGGTTGCCAGACGTCACATCACAAGTTATGAACATCGTTTGCTGAGCTCCATAGACTTTATCAAACATAGACTTCGTATTAAGGCCAACTGCACTGTTAATATCTAAAAGGCTGACCTGAAAGAGGCAATCAAAATCCTCTTAGCTTTAGAGTGGAAGACAGAATTCATCCATAACATTACAGGGTTAGTTAATGGTTCATTAATGATGTTCTAGAATCAGTTAATAATTAACCAATAGTGTTATGGGTTTAGTTAGTGGTTAGTCAATATGTGATAGGGTTAGCTACTTAGAGGTACATTAGATATCTACACAGGTACAGCATAGTACTAGGGATTTTGACCTAAGAGGTCTATGTTGGGTTCACCACTTTAATATCACCTTAATCTACCTATCCTTCTATTTGTTTTTTCTCATGTGCTAATCCAGCTTCCCCTTAAACGTGTTAACGCTTATGGTGTAGAGCTGGATGAACACAGCTGGCCAAGCAGCATCAGAGGAGCAGGAAAGCTGACATTTTGGGCCTAGACCCTTCTTCAGAAAACGTCAGCTTTCCTGTTCCTCTGATGCTGCTTGGCCTGCTGTATTCATCCAGCTCTACACCTTGTTATCTCAGATTCTCCAGCATCTGCAGTTCCTATTATCTCTAACGCTTATGGTAGCAGGTTTCGCATTTCCTCCACTCTAGATATTTTTTGGATTTATTAATGACCATCATACATTTAATTTTAATTTTTGTCTCCTCCAAAACAAGATTTTTGTACATCTACCCTGGAAATCAAAGGATATGGGGAATGGACAACAAAGTGAAGTTGAGGCAGAAGATCAGCCATTGGATCAGACTAAATTACACTGGAGGCTCAAGGGGTCATTTGGGCCATATAATCTATTCCACCTTCTACTTGTTATGATGTTATGAACATTTGCACCTTCTTAAAGACCTCCATTAGGGATCCCTCAAACTTGAGGAAAAAATCTCCAACTAGTTCAGCCTGTCTCGACTGTGAAAATCTCTTGATTTTGGGATTACTTTTGTGAGGTATTTTTCCATTTCCACTGCCTACACATCCTCAATATTGTTGTGAACTTGTTACAGTCCCACCTAATGTTATTGCTGAAAAAGATAGATTTCAGATATTAATTTGGCTTGATAGATCATATTTTCTTTATTTTTATTTTAACAAGGTGGTCTTTCATTGAAATAGAAGCACACTGAGCTAATGCTGCAGATTCAGTTTTAACCATAAAATGAAGTTTATTATACAAATAAAAGAAAGTAAAAAAGAATAAGACAAACTATTAACGTAACACAAATTCAAAATTTTTGAAACACATGGAAAAATGCAAACTCATTGATCCTTACATTACTCCTTTACAGTGCTCAAAGCAGAAAGAATTCCCTTCTTTATCACATCTATAAGTTTTAGTTTAATGGTGGCTTTTAATTCCCAGTCTTAAAAATCTAATAGCCTTTTCCTTGAGTCCTTATACAGATGAGTTTATACTTTCTTATCTTCAAATAACTCCTTCAGGATTTTAATCAAACACTCTGGTCTGGATCTTTCGGATGAAACTCTTTATACTTAAGTAACCTATTTCTTAGAAGTTTTAAACAATTTCCCTGCTTCAGGAGCAACGGTGTTACACATCCAGCTTTAGCAAAGACTTCTGCAAACCTGAACTGGAAAATGATTTCTTTATGGGTATTTCCCCCAAGCCAAAAAGATACTAGAACATTCTAAGTGAAGTCACATGCACAACTAAAACAAAACAAAGACCTACAGATGCTGGAAATCTGAGGGATCTCCTTATCCAGAGATGGAGCCCAGAGGGAGAGAAAGGCAGTCAGGCAGACAAAGGGATGGATGATGGTAAGCCAGGGAATAAAAAAAGCTGAAATTGGGGACCATAAGTAATGAAAATGGGTTGGCTATGCTGAAAGCAGCATATGTTATGACAAAACCAGTATTGAGTCCTGCAGGGTCCTCAAGAGGTCTCATTTTCTACTTGAGGACCAGATGTAATACAGAGGGGAATTCTTTCTGCTTTGACTACTGTAAATGAGTGCTGTAGGGATTAATGCGTTTGCATTTTTTGACATGCTTCAACAATTTTCAATTTATGTTAATAGTTTGGTTTATTTTGTTTTATTGATATTTTTTGTATAATAAACTTCTATTTTATTGTTAAAACTGAATCTGTAGCATTAGTTTAATGTGCTTGTGTTTCAGTGAAAGAAATATGCTTCTTCAGCATATACACTACTTTTTCTGAGCGACTGTCAATTCTGAAGGAGTGTCACTGGACCAGAAACATTAACTCTGCTTTCTTCCTACAGACGCTGCCTGACCTGTTGACTTTCTCCAGATGTTTCTGTTTTTGTTCCTAATACACAAATGTTTACTGTTTACTTGTAAAGCTCACCCATTGAAAACAAAACACATTGCACTCCAGAAAGCCTCTCCCTTGTACTGTGATTGAAAACAGAGTACAATGGCTACAGAAGTACTTACAAGTTAATTATTACACCCCTTCATAGATACAGAGTAAACACACAAGCCGCTAGATCATAATCAACAGTCAAAAATGAATGGTATTAAACGTATTTCTAAATCACTCACCCTACCCTAACCTTGGATCTATATAAGTTTAATGTAACTTTTCTGTTTTCCTTCTGGAAAGAATTCCAGCATTTTATTTGCTTATATATAGCCTTATTAATTTGTGTCACTATTGTTAATGATTTGTGTATAGTACCCTTTGCCAGACCTGCTGAATTTCTCCAGCATTCTCTGGGTTTCTTTCAAAGTTCCAGCATCCACAATATTTTGCTTTCATTGGCTCAGCCTCTTTTAAAGGGGTTTCACCAAACATAAAGCCTGTACCTCGAGATAAGTGTACACACTCCAACTCCCTAGATCCCTTTGCTGCTCTGCTGCCAGACAATTTAATGGCCAATCAATAGCATTACAAAGCTTAAAAATGGAAAGTAATGTGCTTTGGGACATATGTATCTTCTCATGTACTGGTATTAGCGTGTGTAGAGGTATGGGCCCTTGTGGTGGGGCATATCACATGTTAAGGTACACGTCATTTTGGGGAGGTTAGGCTTCCTGTGCTAGGGTCGGGGTCTTCATGTTGTAGGATGAGCCCTAATGTTGGAGTGTGTACACTTATCTCGAGGTACAGGCTTTATGTTTGGTGAAACCCCTTTAAAAGAGGCTGAGCCAATGAAAGCAAAATATTGTGGATGCTGGAACTTTGAAAGAAACCCAGAGAATGCTGGAGAAATTCAGCAGGTCTGGCAAAATATGTGGAGAGTTCCAAAAAAGTAAACAAAACAGTATTTTGTTTCTCTGTCCACAGGTGCTTCCAGACTTGCTGAGTTTCTCCATCATTCTCCATGTTTGGTTCTGAGCCAATATTCATTGAGTAGCAGCGTTGAGATAGTTAAAATATTGAAGATTTTAATATTTTGGGGGAGACAGTCACTAGTGACCTTTAGGACAGGAAATCTACTGTCTTTATCTGGCCTGAGCTGTATGGGACTCCAGACCCACAGCAATGTGGTTGACTCTTAACTTCCTCTGAAATGATCCAGAAAGTCACTCTGTTTGACCAAATTGTTAATATAAGGAAGAAGAAGAATAAAATGTTGGGGCCATCTGGATATCAACCTAGCCTATGTAAGTGGAGAGACAGGTAGAGTTCAGGAAGCAGTGAGGCTGCAGAAGGACTTGGACAGACAAGGAGAGCGGGAAAAGAAGTGGAAGATGGAACACAATGTGGGAAAAGTGTGAGGTTATGCGTTATAGTAGGAAGAAAAGAGGCATAGACTATTCTCTAAATGGGGAAAGGCTTTGGAAATATGCAAAGGGACTTACGAGTTCTAGTTTAGGATTCTCTTAAGGTTAACATGCAGGTTCAGCTGGCAGTTAGGAATGAAAATGTAATGTTAGCATTCATTTCAAGAGGGCTAGCACATAAAGCAGTGATGCTGACGCTGTATAAGGCTCTGGTCAGACTGTATTTGGAATATTGTGAGCAGTTTTGGGTCCCATATCTAAAGGAAGACATGCTGTGTTGTAAAGGATCCAGGGGAGGTTCACAAGAATGATCCCAGAAATTAAGGGCTTGTCATATGGGGAGAAATTGGCGTCTATACTCAATAGAGATTAGAAGGATGGGGGAGTGTCTCATTGAAACTTACAGAATACTGAGGGGCCCAAATGGAGTGGACATGAAGAAGAGATTTCCACCACCAGTAGAGACTAGAACCGGATGGCACAGACTCAGAGTGAAGGGATGACCCTTTAGAACTGAGATGAAGGGAATTTCCTCAGCCAGAGGGGTGAATCTGTGGAATTCATTGCTGCAGAAAGCTGTGGAGGCCAAGTCATTGTGTGTGTACTTGAGACAGAGATAGATAGATTCTTGGCTAGTAAGGGGATAAAGGGTTATGAGGAGCAGGCAGTAGAATGGAACTGAGAAACATATCAGCCATGATTGAATGGTGGACCAGACTTGATGGGCTGAATGGCCTAATTCTGCTCCTATATCTATTGGTCATATGGTCTTGTAACCAGCCTAGTTAACCCTGCAAAGTTCTCCTCACTAAGATCTATGGACCTGTGCTAAAATTAAGACAGCTGTTCCATGGACTCATCAAGTAATAGCCTGATATAGGCACTTTATCGCCCAAACCCTCAAGCTCTAACGCAAAAAAAGACAAGGTGTAAGGGAACACCACTACCTGTCAACTCAGAGCTACACACTATCCTAACAGGGAACTACAGTACTGCTCCTTTGACTCCCTTCATAACAACACTCTGGGTGTACTTGCATCAGATGGACAGAAAGGATTAAAGAAGGAAGCTCACCAACATCTTGTGATGGTAATTAAGAATGGACAATAAATGCTGACCTTCCCAGCAAGCCCATATCGCACAAATTAACATATCAAAATAAAAGTTCCTTAAATATGGAGTAGGAGAGATTTCAAAAGAATAACCAAACATGGCTCTGAATAGGACAGCCTTGCTGTCAGATTAGTGATTTTACCTCAGGGTATTTCTACCTCAGATATCTTTGCCCTCACTGTCCAGCTCATGCAAGAGTGAGGTACCGTGAGGGGACATGGATAGCAAATGCAACACCTTCAGATGAAGGGGACAGGAAACTCGGCAAAGGAGTTACAGTTGAATTCTTCCATATTGCCTTCTGAGTCAAATGTGATAAATTAAACTGTGCATGAATTGTGGTTACTCCATGCAAACTGCAGATGAAAGTCTCACCCACGTGCAACAGTTACACACAGGTTGTCATGCACACGCTGTCACTTCAGTAACACATCTTGTTTATTCCATTGGACCTTTTAATAAAAAGAAAATAAATCATCAGATTACCTTGGCACCATTTTTCAGCAGTATTTCAGCAAAAGCTTTGCCAAGTCCTTGAGCTGCTCCAGTTATTAAGGCAACTTTTCCCAACAGTGACATTGCAAAGTTGAGGGTATTCAATTCTACGTAACACTTCTCGTCCACTTATCAAGAACAATCTGGTCAAAGTCCAAAAGGCAGTAAACAGTAACAACTGGCTTTAGTTGGTTCTTGTATATCAGCAGATCCTTTTCACAGAAAAAGTCCTCAAAGAACAAGCAGAATCACAGATTCCAAGGCAGTTGCTAAAGGCTTCGAGTGTACTTACATACTATTACACCTCATTGTATAGTGCACTGGAAATCAATTCCCAGAGTAATCACAAAAATTAAAGATTGAATAAAAGTATGCAAAATTCCTCAATTTACATGTCATTTTAGACCCAGGTTACAGAACACATGGACTAGGTTTCTGTACTTAAAAAGAATTATTGTTTATTATAAGTGAGCAGATTCTGGCTAGAAGTAAACAATTATGAACCATCAAGATACAACTCCAACAAGATAAAACTCCCCCTACACACACATATCAGACAGATAAAAAATATTAGTGTCCTGGGTGTTATGATGAAAGACTAGGACGGCACTTCAATGGACTCTGCCCACAGGCTTCATTGAGATAATCCTTCTGGCTTGTCAGGACATGCTGTTCAGCAATCTCTCTTCCCAGGTACTTTCACATGCCTGCAGGAGGCATAGAGCAATTGGTTCACAATTTACAGTCTCTGGCTTATTCATTAAAACTAACAGCTTACCAACATCTGGTGAGGGAAAATAAACTGGCTTTCTTCAGGCAATTTTCATTTTACAGTTGAGTCAAAGATAGTACCATCTTTTCTGGGGGAGGCTTCTGCCTATCTCATTTATATCCAAAAGCTATTCAATAAGTTGGAAGCCAAACACATAGTTGTTAACAGGTAGAAGGTTTCTGTCATCGACAACTGGTCATCATTCCACAGAATAACTAGCTACTTGGTCCCAGCCAAATCTCATTTTGTACACTCTCCCTAAGCCAGTTTGTCTGCAACTAAATCTCTCCAACTAAACAAACAACAGTGTAAAGGACATATACAATAACTGCTGGTGATTGGCTTTTAAGGTGAAATATTCGAACTCTGCACTACTGGCACACAGTGTCTACATCATTTAAAAGTGAAGAAATCCCTTCCATTATCCTCGGTTTTTAAAACAGTCTCTTTCCCATTTCAGTCCATAATCAAAAGTGCAGAAAAATAACAACATAAGATATTTACAACAGCTTGGCTCAGCAGTAGAAGAACCGTAAACGTGTCTCTTCAAATCCCATTTCAAAAGATAACCATGTTGTTTCGTTCAGTCAGGAAATATGGGTATCACTGGCTAGGCCAGCATTTATTGCTCATCCCTATTTGCCCCAAGATGATGGTGGAGTGTTGCTTTCTTTAGCTACTTCAGTTAGCTTGGTGTTCACCTACAGTGCTTTCAGGTAGAGAATTTCAGGATTTTGATCTAGTGATATTAAAGAAAGAATGGCATATTTCCAAGTCAAGATGGTGTGCAGCTTAGAGGGGAACTTGCAGGTGGTGGTGTTCTGATTTTTCTGCTGCCCTTGTCCTTTTAGATGGGAGTGATTGTGAGTTTGGAATGTGCTGCCTAAGAAGCCTTTAAGAAATTCTACAATGCATCCTGTAAATGGTACGTACTGCTGCTACTATGCATTGGTGGTGGAGGGGCTGGATGTTTGCGCATGTGGTAGCAATCAAGTGTGCTATTTCTCTTGCATGGTGTCAAGCTTCTCGAGTGTTGTTGAGGCTGCACTTATACAGACAAGTGTGAAGAATTCCATTACATGCCATGACTTATACCATGTAGATGATAGACATGCTTTCGGGAATAAGGAGATGAATTAGCAAACATCCTAGGCTCTAACCTGCTCTTGTGTTTATATATGTATTTATATGGCTAGTCCAGTTTAGTTTCTGGTTAAAGATAATCTCAAGGATGTTAATACTTGGAGATTCAGTGATGATAATGACATTGAATGTCAAGGGGCAATGATTAAATTCTTTCACATTGGAGATGATTATTGTCTTACACTTGTGTGACATGAATGTTACTTGCCACTTATCAGTTCAAGCCTGGATATTGTCTATGTCTTGCTGCATTTGGTCGTAAGACAGCTTCCATATCTGAGGAATCACAAATGGTGCTGAACATGGTGCATCATAAACTGGCATCTCTACTTCTGACTTTCTGATGAAGAGAAGGCCATTAATGAAACATATAGAAGTGGTTGAGCCTAAGACATTACACTTAGGAACTCCAACACTGATGTCCTGGAGCTGGGATGGCTGACCTCCCACAACCATAACCATCATCCTTTGTGCCAACAGAGAGACTTCCCCATTTTGCATTGACTCTAGATTTGCTAGGAGTCCTTGTTGCCACACTTAGTCAAAGGACAGTCACTCTCATCTCACCTCTGGAAGTCAGCTTCTTGGTCCAGGTTTAACCAAGTCATTATGAAGTCATGAGGGACCACTACATTGAAATAGGGGCAGAACTGAGGCAGAAGCGTCAGAAAAGCATTAGAGTCAGGGAGGTACTAAGGGATTGGTGTACTGTTAGGCTAGTAATGAAGGAAAGCTACACCTTCAGAGGTGTCATTCTTTCAAAGAAACTTGTCTGGCTGTGAGTATTTAAAACAACACTTAAAACAGTCCATTTGACTGACAGCCTATATCTTGTGGTGGCATGTTCCACATTCCCACCACTCTGGGTAAAAGTGTTTCTCCTCAATTCTTTATTAGAACTGTTGATGGCTGACTTATACTTGTGGTCTCTATTAATGGACTCTTCCACAAATGGAAAACCATTCCCTAAGTCTAACCTATCAAACTGTTTCATATAATCTCAGTCAGGTCAACCCCTCAGGTCCCCTAACCTGGCCATTCCTCACCCTCTCCAATCCAATTATTTGTCAATCTTCCTAATCCAGCTAATCTATCCCCGCTCCCAACCTAACTGTTCCCATCTCCCTCGAATGCAACAATCTGTGGGATGGAGCTCTGTGTCACTAACTGTTTCCTTTTTGTGGCAGTTCCTTTCTGCTGTTGGTGTCGTAACACTGGAAGCTCAACTTTCTTTAGACATTTGCAGTATTCAGTTGTGAAAGAGCATTCAGTTAGAAGTGAAGTAAGGCCTGATGTTGACATTAACCTGTAAAAACTGGTGAGGCAGTGTGATTGTACCTAACCTCTGTGATACATTATCCCTCTTCTTTTTCCACTAAAGATCTATTAGATGCACCTTGTCATGTTTTCGGTCGCTACTATGAGATCATCCCACTCCCTCACAATGGATTCATTCCAACCCTCCCGGTGAGATCCTCCATGTCTGTCCCACTCAGAAAGAAAAAAGCTTAAAACCAGTAGGACCCCTTTTTTTAATGCTTCAAAATAGAGCTCAGTACGCCTAGGGCATTCATTTCCAAGTTTTTTTTTAAATTTCCTCTGGGAGAGAGAGTCTTCCTGTCTCCTCAGTGAGATACTCCAAGTCTCTTCCAAGTTCTCCCATGAAATGCTGCTGGACGCTACCAAGTTCAGCTGAGACCTGGGTCAGGGTCTGGATGTTAGGTGTTGGAGCCGGGGATGAAGTCAGGACCTGGGATTCTGTCTTGACCGGTGTGGGGGGGAGGGTGGTGGTCGGCACTGTTCAGTGACATTCAGGGCGGCTACCTTGGGCAGTACTGCTTTCTAGCACTGTTTCTTTCAACGTTGAGGTGTAGTTTGGCAACTTCTCGGTAGAAAGCAACAACAGCAAAAAAAAAGCAGCCCCTGTTTTGCTGAAGCGAACACACGAATTATTAAAGCTTCCGCCTAAGGAAAGGAAGACGCCGTTGTAGATTTACAAAGCAGGCTTCCTCCTTCCACCTCGCATTGACCTTGCGACTGATCTCTCCTGTATCTCAGTGCACTCGAACCAGTCTGTCTGTGAGATCTCTGGCCAAGCCTTGATTCGAAAGCAAGGTCTAAAATGAGCATACATGAAACGTTTGCAAGTAAAATATTTCTCCGAATTTCCTAAACCACAGCAACCCCAGGTTATGCAAGGAATTAATCTACAGCATTGAAATACTTACAGTCGGTGTGGGTTTGATCTTGAAAATCTGACGTTCCTATGTTGGCCACTCCCGTCAAATCAACTTCCTGATCATCGCCCAATCTCATGTTCCCTCTGTGAAATTATTAATGTCACTGAATCTCTGTTCGAACGATCAAATTCTAAATAGTAATGTGAGATCAGAATGGGGAGCAGGGTCCTCAGAATAAAAGTAACCAGTTCAGCACCTGAGTCTGCACATTCTCTATGGAGAGTCCTACTTTAAGCATCCATACTCACACCCCAACTATTTTATCCCTGCTAGTCCCCTGTCAGGCCAATATACCTTAACTACCAAAACTGAATGTGGTTATTCTAGATTGGTTCTAAACAACTGTACATGGACATTGGTAAAGCCACTTTTAGAATACTGCACACAATTCTGGTCGCTCTTTTATAGGATGTTGTTAAACTTTGAAATGATGCAGTAAAGATTGACAAGGATGTTGCTGGAACTGGAGGGTTTGAGTTATAGGGAGAGGCTGAATATCCTGAGGCTTTTTACCCTGGAGCGTTGGAGGCTGAGGGGTGACCTTATAGAGGTTTGTAAAATCATGATGAGCATGAAAAGGGTGACTAGTCAAGGTCTTTTTCCTAGGGTGGGGCAGTCCAAAACTAGACGACATAGGTTCAAGGTGAGAGGGAAAGGATTTTAAAGGGACCTAAGGGGCAACTTTTTCATGCAGAGGGTGATAAATGGACGGAACAGGCTGCCAGAGGAAGTGGTGGAGATGAGTACAATTACAACATTTAAAAGGCATCTGGATAGGTAAATGAATAGAAAGGTTTCAGAGGGGCATGGGCCAAATGCTAGCAAATGGGACTATATCAGATTGGGATGTCTGGCCAGTGCAGACAAGTTAGACCAAGGGTCTGTTTCTATGCTGTGTGACTCAATGATTCTAATGGGAATAATGAACCTAGAAATTTGTTGGACGCACCCACCAGGTGTATAAATGTCCTGTAGTGAATGACTTCTGCCACCCTTACAATGAATAAAAAGCTCAACAAGTAGGGACAACTGTGTATTGAACTATAGGAAATGAAGATACGCAGGGGTAAGGGATATCAGCGGGGAACAGCTTAGACCAGTCAGCGAAAAGGACAAAGACAGTCAAACAACAAAGGCCTTAAATTGAGGAAAGGCCAAATTTTTCTAAACTACAAGGTGATTTGCTAAATGTAGACTGGAAATAGATACCTGAAGGTAAATCAATATCAGACCAGTGGGAAGTACTCAAAAAGGAGATAGGGAGAATTCAGATCAAATAGATCTTCAGAATGAAAAGGGCTGGAACTTCCAAACCTGGATTATCCAGGAGGATGTGGGGAAAAAAAAAGGAAACTTATATCAGATATCGAGGCGTCAGTTCTACAGAAAGCCACAAAGAGGATAGGGGTAAAATTAAGCAGGAAATTGGAAAATGAAAACAAAGTTTGACATATGAAATGAAGGCAGTCCTGAAGTTTCTTTTTTTGGTTTGTTAAGTGTTAGAAAATAACTAAGGAAAGAATAACTAAGGAAAACTGTCTGCAGAGAACTAAGACATGGGCATTGTTCTTAATGGATGCTTACTTCCTTTTTTCACAAGGGATAGGAACAAATCAGGCATTGTAGTTAAGAAGAAGTGTGAAACATTAGATGGTGTAAAATTAATGGGAAAGGCACTATTAATGGGTTTAGCATCGTTGAAACTGGATAAAATATCACACCTGAAAGAAAGTTTGTGAAGAAACAACACTGGAACAATTTAAAAATTCATTTACAGAATGTGGGTCAGCAGTTATTGCCCATCCCTAATTACCCCTGAGAAAGTGGTGGTAAGATGCCTTTTTGAATTGCTGCGGTCCATGTGGTGTAGGGACCCCCAAAGTATTGTTAGGAAGGGAGTTCCAGGATTTTGTCCCAGCAACGTCGAAGGAACAGCGATATCCAAGTCAGGATAGTGTGTGATTTGGAGAGGAATTTGCAGCAGGAGCATTCCCATTCATCTTATTGCCCTTGCTCTGCTAGGTAGATGTTGTTTGGAAGGTGGTATCATCGGAGTCTTTGTGAGTTTTACAGTGCATCTTTAGTGTGGTATACACTGCTACCACTATGCATAAGTGGTGGAGGAACTGAATGTTGAAGGTATTAGATGGAACATCAATGGAATAGGCCACACTGTTCTGTAACTTCTTGAAAGTTACTGGAGCTGCACTTTTCCAAGCAGGCAGAGAAAATTCATTACACTTACGCTGTGTAAATGGTTGACAGATTTTGAGGAGTCAGGAATAGAGTTATTTACTGCTTCTTATAAATAGCAATGAGGAACTGGGAAATGGAAGAAGAGTTGAATAAAGAATTGAATTAAATAAATCCATCAGTCTTCATAGTATATATTACTAATAACATTCTAAAAATCCTAAATAATCAAGGAGCTAAAGTGGGGGAGTGGCAGGAGGAGGAAATAAATATGACTAGATTAAAAAAAACTAAAGAAACTAATGGAACTAAAGTTCAATAAGTCTCCTGGACCTGATGGGATGAATCCAAAGATTTTAAAATAAATTGCTGCTGAGATAATGATGCACTGGTCGTAATCTTCCAAGAATCCCAGAGAATGTCAATGTGACACCCTCACTCAAGGGAGGGAAACAAATAAACAGGTAGCTATAGGCCAGTTAGCTTAACATCTATCATTGGGAAAATGTTAGGGTTTGTTATAAAGGAAGTAAAAGCAGAACATTTAGAAGTACGGAATAAAACCAAGCAAAGTTAGCACGGCCTCATGAAGGGGAAATTGTACCTGACAAATTTATTACAGTTCTTTGAGGAGATAACAAGCAAGATAGATAAAGGGAAACCAGTAGATGTACTGCAAGTTAGGATACATATTTAGAGCCCAAGGTGTTGGGGTGGGGGAGTTATATATTAGCTGAGATAGAGGGATGGCTAAATAACAGAGGATGGAGAACTGGGATAATAAAGGGGCTGTTTTCAGGGTGGCACCCTGTGGCTAGTGGAATGCCACAGGGATCAGTGCTGGGGTCACAATTATTTATTAATATATTAATGACGTGGATGATGGAAGAATGTACTATCACCTATTTTGCAGATGACAGAACATAGGTGGGAATGTTAGTAGTGTGGTGAGGATGACTCTGGGAGTCTACAGAATATCCTCTATTGTCACAGATTAAGAAAATGGGTAAAAAATTGCAGTTAAGAACATAAGAATTACAAACAGGAGTTGGCAATTCAGCCCCTCCAGCTTGTCCCACAATATTATATGATTATGGCTATTTTAATTTTGGCCTCAACTGTGCTTTCCTGCCCACTCCCATGACCCTTTAACATAATATGAATTAAAAATTTATCTACCCTTTCTTTAAATTGATTCAGTGTCCCAATGTTCATCACACTCTAGGTAATGAATTCCATTCACAAACCTTTGAGTGAAGTAATTCCTTTTCATCCTCGTTTTAAAACTCCTGCCCTTTAGACTAAAACAATAATCTGTCATTCTAGATTCCCCTACAAGGGAAAACATCTTCCCTACACCTACTTTGTCAATCTCCTTTAGTATCTTTAGAATTTCAATTAGATCTCCTCTATCCTTCAAAATTTTAGCGGATATAGGCCTAAACTGGTCAATTTCTCCTCATAAGACAGGCCTTTCATCTCTGCAATTAATCTAGTAAACCTTCTCTGAACTGCCTCCAATGCAATTCCATCCTTTCTCAAGTAAGGGGACCAAACTGTATGCAGTACTCCAGATGCAGTGTCACCAATGATTTGTATAGTTACCATATGGAATATAATGTGGGAAAATATGAGGTTATGGACTTTGGCAGTAGGAATAGAAGGGGTGGATATTACTTAAATGGCTAACACCACAATTTCAAAAGCGATGTTTTGGATGGATGAGCTTCTGAGTGGTAAGTAGTAGTCAGGTGATTTTTTTTCTTACTTTTAATTTATATTAATCTTTTCATACCCATAATATTTAAAGTAGTGGAATTTAGGCTAGTGACAGAGTAACATAGTCCTGAGATTCAGAGTGTTACCTAAATTGTATTTGTGGAAGAATATATTTAGTATTTTTATGTGAGAATCTAACACTGGGGACCTTCTAGTTAGCTGTAAGTTAAATTATTAGAAGTTTATTTTTAATTAAGTGGCCACTATGGGGTAAAAATGGCAGTCAATGGGGTAGTATGCTTCTCCTGCAGAATGTGAGAAATTGGAGATATTTCGAATGTCCTTGACATGTACAGGAAGTATCCTAATTGCAGCTCCTGCCAGACCGCATGGATCAGTTACAGCAGCAGATGGACACACTTAGGAGCATGCAGGAAGTGGAAAACATCATAAACAGGAGTTTTAGAGATGGGACCATACCCATGTTTTAGGCAGCTAGACGGGTGATTGCCAGAAGGGGTAGGCAAACAGTGTATGTGCCCCCTGTGCTTACTCCCTTCTCTAATAAGTTTACCGTTTTTGGATACTTTTGGACAGGATTGCCTGTCAAGGGATGGCAACAACAGCAGCCAGGGCAGTGGGACCACAGCTAGTTCTGTTGTACAGCAGTGCAGGACAGCAGTAGAAATAGCAGACTCCATAGTCAGGGGCACAGGTAAACATTTTAGTGGCCACAAAAGGGACTCCAGGATCGTGTGTGCCTCCCTTGTGCCAAGGCTAAGGATATCTCTGAGCAGGCACAGTACATTCTAAAATTCCAGGGTGAGCAGCCAGAGATCGTTGTACAAATTGGTTCTGATGACATAGGCAGGAAGAGTGATGAGGTCCTGCAAAGGGAGTTCAGAGAGTTAAGTAGGTAGTTGAAAAGCAGGATCTCCAGGGTTGAAATCTTGGCATTACTTTCTGTGACAATGAGGCTAGTAGTAGGAAGATGGTACAGTTAAATAAGTGGCTAAAGAGCTGGTGTAGGAGGGAGGGCTTCACTTATGTGGATCATTGAGATGACGTCTACAGCAGGAACCTGCACAAGAAGCATGGGTTGCACCTAAACTGGAGGGCAGCA